ATTAGACTGATGGGGGCATCTGGTGTCTGTCCTCTGCTTTCTCCCCCCTGGTTTCTCCCCCCCTCCTCCCCTCCTCCACTGACACATTTTGGCCTTTGTCTGGCCGCAGATGTCTACGTGCTTCTGAGCTGCTGATAAGGACAGAGCAGCTATGAAGCCCTGCAGGCATGCGCACTCACTCACACACACGTGTACTTGTACACGCGCTCACACGCCGTATCCGTGTCCAGAGCTTGACACCATTGTACGGGCGCTGAAGGGGGCTCTCAGGGCGAGGCGCAGCTCGTGCCCGTGGTCTTTACCTCGTGGCTCCACCCACGTTATTATCTCTGCGATTTGCTCCTTTTTTTGCAGGGGAGCGAATGGTTTCTATAGCGACAGGCTCTAGGAATTTCTCTGAAAACATTATTTCTTTTGGTTCTGAAGCCCTGGGGAGGAGACGGGAAGCCAAATATGACTCTGACCCTTTTCTTCCTTTGTGGCATCAGGCTGTCAGGGTCCGCACATGGTTACATTTTACATACGTTTTGTGTCATGTTTGAATTCCTCGACAAACTAATCCAAATTATCCTCGGTGCCCAGTTCCAGACTGGAACTAGATGTCACATAATCTGCCCCAGAGGTGTTAAAACCTCTAGACAGCACAAGGTTTTTCCTGACGATATGTCCTCGATATGTCCTCAACAGATGGACACACACACACACACACACACACACACACACACACACACACACACACACACACACACAAAAGTGTGCTAGCTCCCTCAGAGGCGTCTATGTCCTCTCTTTCTCTCGCTCCAATATTGCTCTCATTCTTGCAGAGTTTTTTCATTCATTCTGCCGTACTACTCCCCCCAAGGAAGTTTCACAGAGAGAGTTTTGTCGTCGTCGGTCTCTCGGTATTCTGCTGAGAGAGAAAGAGGAAAATCAAAATGTGTCTCGTCGATTCCGGATTCCACCTCTGTGCTAAATGTAAAGTCCTTTAATGTGCATTATCGCCCTGCGCTCAATGACTGGCTTATAGGTGTGAGGCATCATTTGACGGCGCCGCGTCATACGGATGAGATGACGCGCCGTCTGTCCCTTCACAAGTGAACTCCAACCTCAAACCTCGGCGAACGCTGCGTTGCTTTTATGTTCGGTTGAAAGCAGACGGCGGCGCCGTGACGGGTTTGTTGTGGCAACGTGAACGAATCTTTACAAGTTTGTTCCACTAAGAAGGATTTTTGGTTTTATTAGTTGAAAGGCTTTTGCCAGAGCAACCACTTTACACATAACTGACATTGACAATATGCAGCAGAGGCCAATTAATGTATCCAGGCTTCATTCTGACCCTGAAGCCTAAAAACGCTCACAAACCGGCCGCAACCCTTTCAAAAGCGCGCGTTTGTGTTTGTGTTGTGTGCCCGTCCGTTTGTGTGGTCCTAAGTGTTCGCTTGCCAGCCTCATCCCCTTGTTCGGGTTATCTGTTGGGCTTTGGATCACTCATCTAATGCGATGTGTATCTTGCCCACGTGTGTGTGTGTGTGTCTGTGTGTGCATTTAGAACTGTTATTAAAATGGGAAAGCGCACACAGACACATGAATGTAGACGCCAAGGCCGGCCGCTCGTGCTGCTTTGAATGTGCTTTGCGTTCCTCGAGGTGGCTGGTAGGCTGTCCGTCATGTGGACCGGGTGGAGTCCTCCGCCAAAGCCTCCGCTGGCGGTGCCACAGGGAGATGTGAGAGAAACACTCGGACACACACCGCTCTGCACAGCGCTCGTTGCCAGCCTCCCCTTGTTGTCAAATGGCTTTGCTCCAGCCACGGCAGCATTTCCTAGCCAGTCTACTTTCTCTTACACTCACACACACAGCATTTGGCAGGCGTTGAGTAAAGCTCCCTGCCTGCAATGTAACCCTCCTTGATCCTCCGTCAGACACACACACACACACACAACCACACCTTGCCGAGCGGCCGAGTGCAAGCCACCCCCGTCTTGTGTACCGACAGTCTGTCTAAAAACATCATACCCAGACTGGCTTAAAGGTCCAATCCTGCTCCGTCCGGCCCGGCTGACGGGGGTTCAGTGCATTGGGCCGATTTAAAGCGGCTTCCCCTGCGGATTCGCCTATGAGTGACACTCGGTAGGTGGATATCAACTACAAGAAATGGCTTCCCCGGAAGGCTACTTGAAGGTCCGTGATGAAAGCATCAGTAGGTGAAGGGGATTAGGGGATGTTGCAGGCGACGGGTGCGGCCTGCGGAGTTACTCAGGATGAGCAGCGCGACTAAAACCTCCACACACATGTTACTTTTCTTTTGATTTTTCTTTAGGATTTCTCACATTGTCTCATGGTTTCCTTTAGGGTCTAAGGTGACTTGTAGTATGTAGACATCATGAAAGTAATGCACTATTTGCTTTGTTCAATGCTTTTATGACTGACGGTGAGGATGGTCGATGCCGCGTTGTTCAATGGAAAGTCCTCGAAGGCATTTATGAAGGTAACAACGTTTTCAGCTCGACAGTTTACACGTTTCTCCTCCGGGGTTCACTTGGGTCTGACTGCTCCCTGCGTGTGTTTGCTCCTCGGTAATGAAACGTTTCCGTCGCGTGTCGCTGTTGAGGATCTGCCTTTTGTCGTCTCCCGCAGTTTCACAGCAGTGGGATGTGTGTGTTTCCACTGAGAAAGTCGGAATACAGGCATATATATTTAGTTTTTCAAAGGGAAAGTCAACTAGACATTTTGGGGTAATTTAACCGTATTTACCTTGTCACGTATGACAAAACAGCATTTTGTTTTGTCACAAGCAGACATGCATGCAAACCTTTCTAATACATGTTTTGACACATTTGTGAGGAGAACTTTATTGTTCCTTTGCTTCCTGTTTTACTCTCCTTTTCTATTTCAGTGAATCCACCAAATTGATTTTAAAAGCAATGTGTACTGTCCCATAGAGCAGAACACAGCTTTCTCTGTTAAAACGGTATTTGACACACTCGCTCGTAAAAACACAGATACAGGACTCGTGTGAAATGTCTGTCTGAAGCCCCGGCTTTGTGCCGCCCAGAACTAGTCAATGTCCATTGACTTACTGCAGACAGGCAGTGTTCCTCTGCGTCTCCTTCGCTCATCCGAGGTGGGCAATTAAAGCAATTATGCTGCCTCTTCGCTTCGCCCAGCGACAGAGCACCAAAAAAGCCGAGGCAGAGGGAAATACGTAGGGCGATTTCAAGCGGGAGAATTATAGCGAGATAAAGAGAAGGCTGATGAAAAGCTTTGCCAGGTAGAAGGCGGCAAACGTCGATGGAGCATTGAGGACAAATATTCCACTAAAATACAATAAATGGAATAGCCACTGCTCCTTTTATCTAAAATGACTTTCATCCGCTGGGTTGTGAATATGTAACCTCATATGTGATGATCCCAACGTGGAATGCGTTACTTGTACACTATGAAAGAGCATAAAAATACCGGCATGTTGAGCTGCACTGAACTGACCCGGGTTCAGCTGAGGTGACCAAAAACGACTCGGACAAATCTCTTTTTTTTTTTTTTTTGTCTTTAACTGAACTGAGGTTTGACGAACAGAGAAGCAAAGCTGTGGCGCTCCCCTCGGCCCGCAGCACGCAGTCCATCCACATTAGTACTGATCACTTCCTGCCTCCCGGCTCTCCCTCTCTCTCTCTCTCTCTCTCTCTCTCTCCCTCTCTCTCTCTCTCTCTCTCCTTCCCCCGCTTTGTTTACCACGTAGAGGTTGATTTATGTCGGCTGCACTTTGCAGAGTTGGGTGGCGTGGGCGAGATACAGCTGCTGAAAGGGGGGGGGGAGAGAGAGAGAGAGAGAGAGAGACGAGAAGGAGGGGTAAGCGAAAGCGAGTGAGGCCAAGTCGGAGTGGCGAGTCAAGGGAGAGGGGAGAGGGAGGTGAGCCGAGAGGAGAAGCAGGAGACTACGGGCTGGATGAGAATAGCAAGCGGGGAGCGAGATTACCGGGCGGAGCAGAGGGAGGCTGTGCGAGGAGCGAAGGAGGAGCGGCGTCGGACCGGCCTCTGGTGTCTCATTTAGGATGCGGGTTCATGTCGGAACACAAGGCCTCCTGCCGCCCCCCCTCTGGCCCGGCGGCTCCTCTCCGCTGTTCCTTCCTCATCCGCATCATCGCGTTCAAGCCTGCCAGTCCTGACAGCCATGATGGAGCTGATTGTACAGCCTAATGCTTTAATGGCTCCGGTGGGAAAGCAGGAGTTGCAGCCACAGATCCCTGGAGCAGGTTATGTGGTGAGGGGAGGGGGGGGGCGGGTCTCTCACGTTTACATGCACAGCTGGCAAGTGGATCAGTTGTAATGAGCAGAGTCATAGTCAGACTGTGTTCACAGAATGTTTCAGAGGGAAGCAATGCATTAAATATTAATGAGACAGACAGGAGTTAGAAAGATTCATTTAAAAAAAGTCTGAATGCAAATATGCAAGGCCGATTCTGGCTCCGGGCTACAATTTCTGCAATGCCCATTGTGTCGCACCGTAGAGAAGTACAAATGGCTGATGATTAAGTGTCTTGGTCGTGGTGCGTTCTAACGAAGCCAGCGCTTTAATGCCGATGTCCACTCCGTTCCCCATCTCAATGTAGCAGGTTAGAAATGGCAATTATTTTAGCTGGGTTTTATTCATTTTACAAAAATAAATGATAGGCGGTTGAGTTAGATGAAATCATTAAGGGGTAATTAAAGGAATTACATTTCATTCAAGTTTCATTCATGGCGGCCCATCCAACGCAAAAAAACACTTGAATGTTAACTTTGTTGTGGAGCGGGAGGAAATGTCAGGGGATCAGCGATGTAATAAGGATGCATTCTCTGCACACCAGACATTTCTCTACAAACGGTCTGGCAATCCGTTTAGGTTCGTCCTCGGGGAGAACCATTTAAGCAAGAAATGAAAGCAAAGCGCAGGGGAGAGATGTTTTTTTAGATTTGGGTTATTATTACATTAAATACGTTCTCTCTCTCTCTCTTCCTGCAGCCGGTCAGTTGAGCCAGTCGGCTCACTTCTCCCTGCAGCTGCCCTACACTGTGCTGGGCCTCGGCCGGAGCGCCAACTTTCTGGATCACCTGTTCGTCGGCATCCCCCGGCAGCCCGGAGAGACGGTGAGGAAATAGTTACCTGGACAGTAGGAACGCCAGCTGTACGGCCTCATACATTATTTAAAAAATAAGTATTGAGAAATATCCTCTGGGAAATGAGGCCCTTCCAAAAAAAAAAAGAAAATCAGATGATGAACTTATTAATTAGAAGCACAATTCCATCATGTTAAAAGTCATAAGCAGAGAACTCATTAACAATGAGCTGGATGTTACACATTTCCTCTGAGGAGTGTGAGACTGGTTTGAATTTGCAAAGATTCAGGGAAAGGAATTTCCCTCCTGGTATTTTCTCTTCTTATTAATAGTCATGCTGAACAGAATTCTCCCAAAAATGCTGCAAAAGCATTTAATGAGCGCTTGAGGTTGTTTTCATTTTGTTCTTCGAGCAGCAGTTCATCCAGTAAATATATGATCAGCAGGGTTTTTATCAATTCAGATCCAAATGATCGTCGTCCAGATGTTTGGAAATGAGTTGAGCACAGGATTTATAGGAGAAACCTGTAGGCCACAAACATGCTTTTCTTTTGTTACTGTAATTTGTGAAATGATTGATATAAAATATAATAACCATCCATCGCTGCAAATAGATGTGTATTCTTATTGCATATTTCTTTCAGTTTGTATTTTGCAGCCCATAAAAATACAGGATGAACATAAGCAGGATAAATGTGGCGAGACTGGGCGCTAAAACGGCAGCGAGGAAAAAGCTCTTTCCCCATCAAGAGTAATTGAACTTACTATGAGGAACTTTGAATTGCTCGGGAAACTGTTACGGTTTAATAGTGACTCCATCAGATTGACATCGGTGCCACCGGGTCAGACTCCGGCAAAACCCAAGCAAATTTAGACCGTAGGTTCACGCGAAGCTCCTGCAGGACCCACCAAAATGGACGCGGCTCCTCCTTCGGCTCCCGCCGGGAGTTGACACCGCGTATAGCAGGAGGCTCAGGCCATATTGTTGGACGGGAGTCACAGGGGAACCCTAAGCAGGACCTCTAATGGGACTCCACAACGTAAAACTCCTCGTTTCTTTTTGGCAAATAGACTCCAAATCCCACATGGGACGACCTACGACCTCACTCGGGTGCGTGAAGGTGTGGCAGGAGTATATCGACACCCCTCTCATGCCACACTACAAGCCAGCATTATATTCATATAGTAAATAATTGATCGTATTTGTGTTTTAATGTATTCCTCAGCACACATTTCTACACTTCGTCTCCTTTCCTCTCCTTCTCTCACGTTGCACTCGTCACACCTAATTTTAGGCCCGTACCACACGCGTCCCTCGTGGTACCAAGATCTTCGTCAAGCGGCTGATTAGAATTGCAGATGGGCCGGTCCGCAGTGCACACGAGAACACTCGTCCCAAACGAGCTGCTTTGTCTTTGTCCCCTTTTCCGCGCACTCCTTCTCCCTTATGCAAAGATATGTGACCTTTTTTTCCCCTCCTCCATTCCTTCCCATCCCATTCCTTCTACAAACCTAATTAACGAATGCCTAAAGATGCAGCCTCTTGTGCCGAGCAGGGGGAGGGGGGGAGAGCGGGGGGGCTCACCCAAAGGGACCAGGGAGTGGAGTAACGCCATCAGGTCTATGTGTAATGAGGAGCAGAGGCTTTAGGAAAGAGGAGACATCCTGACCTCAGTCGGCAGGTTGTGATCAGACTCTCTCCATCCGTCCCTCATTTCTGTTTTCTCCCCCCTCGGCGTGTCCTGCTTCCATTATCTCGCCTCCCCCCCAAGCTGTGCCCTTTACGATGCTCTCCTCCAACAATGAAGAGTTTCCGCCTGCTGCTTCACAGGCGCTTTGTAAACTCTGCTTGGATCTCCTCCGTCCGATCGCTCCTCTCTTTTATTCCCCGTCGCTCTGCGAGTCTCTCCCCTCCTGTTCACTCATCCTCCCCCCGGGGGACCCCCTCTGCTCCTCAAAGTGGTTGACTTCCCTAATCAGTCCCCTACTTGTCACTCTCGCTCCGTCTCCCTCCCTCAGCCTCCATCTATGCGCCTCCTCTGCCTGCTCCTGGTGTGCCAGATTCCCTGGCTTTGAACCAGAGTGCCGCTCTCTGAAGACTTGGGAACACTTTTCTCTTCCAAACAGCCAACTCGGATCCGCTCGCAGGCAGCGGAGGCCGACGCGTCTCCAGCTCTGCTCCCCCCGCCAGTTGCCGCGCCGACGCCAGCGCTTTCCGAGAGCCAAGCGACGACGGCTGGCGGGAGCGAGAATGCGCTCGTTATGTAGGAAAGCGGCGCCGCGCGTATTCAAAATAGCTGCGAGGCGCGGCTCCTCTCTACCACTACTAGAGCGGAGAGAGCCACAACTAAAGAGCAGCGGAGCTTTCCAGATTCTGCCAAACGGAGGACTGGAAATTCCTCAAAGCTCCAAGCGTGATTGTGCTTTTAATTAATTAGCATGACGCCCGCGCTCCCCTTTGTTATCAGGCAAAGTAGGGCTCAGCAGACAGTGGAAAGGGGGGTCAACAAAGTGTTGATTCTCCTGGTGTTTTCCTGTCTCGGGTCAAATACAGTCTCTGTCGGTCTGATGTCCGACGAGCCGTGAGAGGTTTTCCCGGCTCAACTCGACTCGAGTCCCGGCGGTTAACCCCTCGTCCCGGACAGCGTGCGCTCGCCCAGCCCGACGCCCGAGTGTCCTCTCGCGATCCGTGCCTGGATCAACTAAAAAAAGACAGACGGGTGGGATGCGGCCCTGAGAGCGGAGTCCCTGGATGGGGAAAGGCACATTTGATGTCGACGGACGCCGGGCGGGGGGCTCGTTGTTCTGCCGATGGCCTGATTCTCTGGCAGCACACCTGGCGACAGACACACTCAATCACGCATGCTAACGCGACACAGACGTGCAAACGTCCGTGGGGAGAAACTTCTTTGCTCTCCACTGTCCTCTCTTATATGTATCGTTTTTTTGTGTCGCTAACGCGCTGCTGAAAATAGCCCACAGCGGCCAATGGGAACCTGTCATTCTGCCCCAGAGGACTTAACACTCATATGGAGAGTCTGTGGCTGCGAGGCTATCGGGAAACCTGCGTTGGGATGCCGATATCTACCTAGATGTTTAGGTAGCACACTTCCATTTAATCGCACAACATGTGCATCGTTTGAACAGTAGATGTTGGCTTAAAGTTGTCTGTCTACCACTATTTCTCCATTTCTCTATATTCTGTTTAAAGAGAAGACACATTTACGTTTTAGTTTTCTGTTTTCATTGTGATCTCTCGTGGGCTTTTTTTTATACTTAATCTACAGATTAACGCAGACAATTTAAAATATTTCAGTGGTAATTGGAGACCGTTGCCGTGTCAGAGTTTTAAGCTATTTAATTAGTCTGAATTAAATTGAAGAGCATCAGAAATAGGAAGTGTTTTTGTATTGTGCTGCCGGGGCAAACTGTATTTCGATAGAAGGCGTATTTTCTATGGCACATGGGTCTCGCAGTGTCCCTGGTTGAGTGAGTATTTGTTGTCTTTTGTCCAGTGGCTCCTTCAGTTTCCTTCCTCTGGCTGACGCGGCGGTCATGTATGTGCTCCCCCACTTCATGTGCTTTTCTTCCCCGCTCTCTTCTCAGGAGATAAGGAAGAAGGAGTGGACGGCCATCATTCCCAACTCTCAGCTCATCGTCATCCCCTTCCCACACAACCAACCCCGCAGGTACGCCAGCGCTCGCAGATCTCGTTCGGGTCACACTTTAAATCCTCTTCTGCTTGTTCACGCCAGTGTAATTTGCTGGAAGCCCCGTTGACGCTTGTTGCTAAGGATACCATTCAACGGTTTAAGCGCCTCATCTTGAAGGCACTAAACGGCATATTCAAGTTAATGTAACGCGACACGGTTAGTGTCTTTGTGGGGCTGCCTTTACAAAATAATCTGTACTCACACACACACACACACTCACAACACGCAGCATGTGTTGCAGTGTTTTCATGACGTTGTTCACATGTAGCTCAAACCCCCGGGAGGAGCTCCAGATGGCTTTTCAGCACACACACATATGAGCACCCTACATGTTCCAACGCTGTGTACTCGCCAGCACGGACACACACCTACAGAGCAGTGTAGCTGGGAGAAGACGGCGCCCCGGCATTCTTCTCACAAGCGGCCTTACGCTTACAGATTGGGTGATTCTAAATGTGACGTATTAAAGTGGTCGGATTTGCTGGAAAAATACTTAAAAGTCCTGGAGGAGAGCAGCAGCCCTTCATTGTGTTCAGCCACGACCAGAAAGTGAACAAGATGTTAATTTATTTATGTTAGCGTTCCCTGCAGATGTGTGCCTTTTGGTAATCGAATCAAATTTTCTTCTGCTAAAAAGTGTTTTGTCTCTCTCCTCCCACTCAAGTTGGAGTGCCAAGTTGTACCTGACTCCTAGCAACAGCGTGCTGCTGACGGCCATCGCGCTGATCGGGGTGTGCGTCTTCATCCTCGTCATTATTGGCATCCTGCACTGGCAAGAGAAGGTCAGGACACACACACACACGTATAACGGTTTTCTATTTTAGAGTTGGAAGTATGAGAGAGAGAGAGAGAGAGAGAGAGAGAGAGAGAGAGAGAGAGAGCAGATTGGTCAATGGGCAGCAGATGGGTCTCTCTGTCCCTGTCCTGTAGTCCTCTAGCCTCCCACTGAGACACAAACACGGCTTCTCTCTTTTTCTTCTCTCGGCCCGTCGTCGCCGCTCTGACTCGCCCTGAACCCGGAAGGACGCTCGGCTGTAATTGGCTGCTTGTGTTCTTGCAGCGTGGCAGATCTGCTGGTCATTATTACCATAAAAACGCCCTCAATGGGGTCAATGCTCCCTTTCATGTGCATTTTGTGCTTCCTGTTGTTCCCATTGTTGTTTTACACACGTGCACGCACACACACACACACATCTTCTCCAAGCCATCTGCTGTGTGTGTGTGTGTGTGTAATGTGCCTGCCTGCCTGTGTTTATATGTGCATGGTCACACACAGACACGCTCTAATTGCTCCCTTTTTTGGGATACGTGGGGCCGAGCTTCAGCCTCATCGGAGCCGAAGCTACATCTTAAAAGAAAGAAAACATGGCTGGTGCCTGAACGGAGCGACTGTGCGCACACACACACACACACACACACACACACAGACACTTACACAAACACACACGTGTGTGTTTCTTCCTCAAGAGAGTGGGAGGAAGAAAGAGGGGAAAATGCTAACTTTAAAGGGAAAAACACTCCTTGCAGTGTACTTCATGGAATCAAATGTTCACGCAGGCAGGACGGTGGGTTTGAAGCCTCAAAGAAGCAACGCGCGTGGCTTTGATCGCTGTAATGTGCTCAGGCTGACCAGAAATAATGAAAAGATACCTGCGTTCTTCCCTCCCACGCCAACACGGATAATGCGAGCTGGCTCTGGGAGTGTTCAGGGAACACGGGAGTTCTGTTGGTGCTTTATTGTTGCTGTTGATTTATCTTAAGGCCACATGTTGTTTTAACTGATTTGGTACAATGATACGGCTCTGTTACAGAAGCCGGTGGGACGCGTCAGTCAGCTGAGGCCAATTCAGAAAAGTATTGTTGCTGAACATTCAACATCGACTTCAAACTGCTGGATGGATTTTTGGTTTCTACCAAACATAATCTCCAGCATCTGTTCCTGTTTGCGGCTCACGCAGCAGATTCTGATGCTGCGCTCGGATGTTTCACACTTAGAATTCCCTCTTCACATTTTAGCTGCCCAGGCTTTTTATAGAAGAGTGACGGATTGTAACAAACTTCCTCATGTTTTTCATCATGCGCCATCCAAGTCGTGGAGGTTTACTAGCTTCAACATGTTACTTTCTGGACCTTTGGCTCCCCCCAAAAACATCCTGCCCCACATAAAACTGTAAAAAGACAAAAAAGTAAAAAGACAAAATATAACCAATCATATCTATCCATCTAGATAGATAGATAGATAGACAGATCATCTCGTGTCAACGAGGAAACAAAGTGCTTTACATACTCATTGGAAGGGAATGGAAGACATTACGGCTCAGAAAACAGGACCATCAATGAGATGCATTAAAATCACATAAATAAAGGATTTGTGTATTTCATTTAGTAGCAAAAGAGATGAACACTTAATGATGAACACTCTTTATGCCTAAAGAAAACCACGATGACTTCTGTGATCCGCTCTGGATGTGATGTTTCCCTGATGCAAATTCTCCCACTTTATTGTAATGACAATAACTTTCGTTTAGCTTGTCATGGACTCCATAATGCTGCATTTTAGCGGTACAGACTTGTGATGTCGTGGCCCCCCTTTAACCGAAACGCAACAGCCACCCATCAAAAACATGTTGCTGTACGGCCCACGTCCTCCCTGAGATCGCCTCTTCTCCCACAGCTTTCTTTCACCGCGGGCCCACCGATAAGGTCAGGGCGAGCCCGTTGATCGACGCTTGGCATTTGTGCTCGTTTGCGCCGCCGCCTCTGGTATTTAATCGTCTAATAACAAAGTCGGGCAGAGGGCAGAGGCACCGGGGCAAAGAGGGGCCGTCCCGCCAAACACGCTTGCCAGGCTACACAGCTTCGACATCAGCCGGGGAGGTGCGATCAAGAGGTGGAGAGGACGGGATTGTGGGGGGGGTGGGTGGACGTACCCATTCATCGTCTTCATGCAGGACACGCAGGCCCGACTTAATTAGTTGACATTAGAGCCCGGAGAGACCTCGCAGTGGCTTCCCACCTGCTTTCAGACACGGACGGGGCTCCATTAAAGCCCTGAGATGGACGCAGATCAATGCTCTCCTGCCTCGTGACGAGTTGTGCCTCGGGGCGACAGTTTGCCGGAGTATTCCCTTGATTGTCAATTAGACCGGGCGACGGCAGCAGCAGCGCCCGGTGGTTAACCCAAAGGAGAGGACATCAATCCATCTGCTTGGCCTAAACGGGGGAAAAGCACAACATCAATCAATATGAGGCGCTGGTATCTTGGAAGATAGATGAAGGCTTCATTACAAATCAAAACTGACGGGATGAAGAAGACAAAAAAGCGGGAAATTAATCAACATCAGGGGAAGGATCGGCCGTCCTTTAAATGAAAAAGTTCTTCACTAATGTGTCGAGATATTTTCTCCACTGCGACAGTAAATGCTGAGAGAATACATTTCTTTAACCGAGATTGTTCCTCTCTGTCACTTTTATGCCCCTTTTCTCCCCATCATCAGTTCTTCCCTGGTATCAAATAGCAGACGTGATGAATCATTGACTACACCGTCCTCGCTCCACATGAAATCTTTGTTCTGCGGCGCTCAGCGGCCGCCAAAAGGCCAAGCGGCTCGATGGCGCGCTTAGCGGCTTCGGTCCTGGGCCGCCTCGCGTCCCACTACAGAGAACTGCCGGAGGAAACTAAATGTGAGGGACTTCCCTCAGTGTGGTAGACTGTACGGAATACTTTTGACGGCAATGGTTAAAAGTTACTCTGCGTTATATTTATACTTTGATCCTAAAAGACGTCATCATCTATAGAACACGATGCATTGTACTGCATCTACTGCGGGTTCAAAGTAGGTGAAGTTCGCTCCATCCATCGCACTTGCTCCCGTCTGTCTTCAAACAATCGTCACGTGCCCTGATTTAAAAAAGGCCGGCACTGGCTGTGAATAGATCCTCTATTTTAATTATAACATAAGAGATGGAGGAGAAAATGTCCCTCTTTCTGTGGAGATAACGCAAGGCTCAGCAAAAGCTAATGTGAGTCCTCAGCAGTCTGAGTTAGTGGAGTCGAGTTCACCATTCTCCAGTTCTTGCTCCCTCCCAGAAGAGTTTTCTTCCTTTTTGTTACACAAGCGAAGGGGACACTCCACTAATCCACCAGTGGGCGCATTAGTTGCGCTACGCGGCCATGTTTAATCAGGGAGCATGTGACAGTCCGGCAGATCGCTGCTGGCTTCAGCTCTGTTCCCTTTATACCTGCCTGATGGAAGACACGCCTCCTCCAGACTAAGGTGATCGATCCCTGTGTGCTTCCTTCTGTTTTTTGTGTGTTCAGAAAGCGGACGACAGGGAGAAGAGGCAGGAAGCCCACCGTTTCCACTTCGATGCCATGTGAAGGAGGAGAAGTGGGAGAACGTCGTCGCCTCATCTCCTCCCCCCCGTCACACACGCACGCCTCCTTTCAAGGGCCAATAAACGGATCTTCGTTTGCTCCAAAAAACGTTTCTTTTCAATCTTTCTCAGTCCTTCAGTCAGGTGTGAAATATTTATGTTCCATTTGATGTATTCATCCCGGTGGTCGATGTACAGCAGCTCCAACACGGCCATGGAGACACGGGGAAATCCTAAAGGAGATGAAGCAGGGATTTATTTGGACCGGATGTGGTCAACAGCATGATGATCAGTCGGGTTTTGTTAGGGGATCATTTTGAAAGAAATGATACCAATTTACGTTGAAACTGAAAATTGACTCGAATATTAAAAAACTGTTTAATCACTGGAAAGGAAGCACCTTTGGCGCAGAGTGTTCTAAATGTGTCATGTTACTTGAAATCTATGTGTGTGTTACTGTCCGTTGTCTTTTTTTTTTTATTAAGTTACGGAATTCTTCTGATTTTATAACCTGTGAAATTAAAATGAACTGTATTCTGTGATATCAATCTGGGCCTCAGGCAACACAACGTGGACACACGCAACATCGATCTCAACAATCTCTTCGGGGTCTGCTGAGTGCAAATTCGTCTCCTCAGCAGATCGGATCAGAGTGCCAAAAATAAAAAAATGAAGTTTCTAATGCTTCTGCATCGAGGGTCGAATCGTCTCCAAGAAGCGTTTGCATGTTGGACCGTTGAATAAGGCACAGGTTTGTTTACTCGAGATGTGGTTCTAATTTCAGTCAAGCGCTTTGGTGCGTTTGCTATGTTTATTTCACTAGAATGAGCTAATGTCTTTCCGAGCGGTTTGCACTTTTAACCAATGATTAATAGCAGGCGTATGTCATTTATTTAATTTTTGCTATTAAATGTTCAAGCTATTAAATGTGTTTACTCACTGAGGTTGAGAATAAAAGGTTTGTCCTGCTTAAATCAACTTGATGTTGTTTTCTTTGTATATTATTAGACGTAATGTATTTTTCATTCCTGTTGCAATCTCCTTAAGGCTGCTATGGGAATATGAGATTATGTCGCAAACAAATAATTGCCTCTCGCCCACGCAAACTCCTTTCTGGGAATATATTTTGCCGGGATGCTCTGGGGACACTGTGGATCATTTTTATGTGCGCGCGTTATCCTTCAAGCAGCAGGGAAATTAAGATGCCTTTCATTTTCATTTGGTAAATGTTGGAGCATCCTTTGGTGCCCCACTGGACATTGAGGCAGATCCCAACCGGAAGCGAGATAGTTGAGCTTCCAACAATAAAAGCAAGGCAACAACTTGCGTCTTTAAGAGTATTTCCATTAAATTACACCTTCATATCTGAAGCTCTAAAACCCTACCGAGTGATTTTATTAATTATAACATAACAGCCTGTAGATATTTCATGTTTCATACATGAACCACAAAGAGAGTGAAGTATTGATTACATTTTACCTCCAGCCAACCTGTTCGCTTCTTACAGTGGATTCACCAAATATGTCATGTACTGTTTTTAGTTTTATTGGAATAAAAGCCGAATCGTACCGCGTTTTCCTGCACGCTTTACGCGCACGTCTTCCCGTACAACCCGTGCGTTCTCCAGTCTGTTAACTTTAACACTACGTCCGTTGTTATATGTCTCTGCGCGCTTGCGTTTCCTCTTTGGGTTCACTACTTTGAAAGAAACAACCGGAAGCCGAATGTCTTCACTGCGTGCGCGGTGCCTGCATGCTCGTGACACGCCGCTCATTGATGTAAGCAGCGCGCGCGGGTTAGATGAGCCTCGTTCAGGAGCGTTTCTTAGTTCAGACACGGACAGAGAGCAGACGGAGACGGACTCTCCTCCTCCTCCTCTTCCTCCTCCTCCTCCCCCTCCATCTCTCTCTCTCTCTCCGCGCACCATCCATCCACACGCGTCTTTTGGATACCTACGTCTCCTAGAGCGCGTCGGCTCAGTCCGTCCTCCAACCTGCCATCTCCGCCGGAGTCCCGCTGGAAGAAGCCGGCCGCGCGGGGATGAAGCCCGGCTGAGCGGCTCGCAGCAAGCGTTCATCCTCCAGCTGGTGCCGCTTCCCTCCCTCCCTCCTTGGAGCGCGGCTCTGCGCAATGGATTTACGGCTGTCTGACAAAAGTTGGATTTCGTAAGGAGCCGCGTGGACCTTAAAATGCACAGAAAAGGACGGAGTTTTTAGTTTTAAAAAAAGAAAGAAAAAGAAGCCGTTGTTGGGTCGGAAGCACACCGTGAGAGGAGATGCACAGAGGTGAGTTGGACACGAGCCGCGTTGTGCGTCGGGGTCCGGTGCGCTGGGCGGAAAGCTCCGGTCTTTACCTTTTTTGAAATTATAAAAATGCTCCCCGTGGATCAGCTTTAAAACGCATCATTTGTTGTGCATTTATTCGAAAAGGAGAACGCTAATTAATGAGTGAATAAATGCAAACAGACCAATCCTGCATGAATGACATCGCCATTAACCGCCGAAAGCCCAAATCAAGTGCCAGCATCTTTTGGTCCGCTCCCAGTTTTCTAAGACCTCACACCGGACCATCATTCATGGTCTGGTGTGAGGGTAAAAAAAAGGGGACCAGGACCAGATGTTTGTCAGTTTGGCCCCTGTGAGGTGTTTCTCTCGCCGAACTGGGGACCATCTGATTATTGGTGATTCATGATGTAAAACGGACAGCAAAGGTCAAATACTATTTGGAGTCCACTGGGAACCATTAAGTGTTTCCAGTTTTTGCCGTCTCCATTCACCTCACTGACTAAAGCGTGGCGTCCCTGCCAATAGGTGCAGCTTTTTGGTTGCAAATAGCTGAATATAACATTTTTATTCTATTATTAATCAAATTAACAGCGGTTCATTTCCAACTACGCTCAACTGCACGCTGTCCGGCTCCTGCCGACACCTCTGGGTGCATCCAGTGAGGCGTCAGGGTGCCTGCTGTGGACAGTTTAGTGCACCAGCTATAGTGAGTTAAATCTGATCATTTGCAAAGTGTGTGTTTGTGGGTCTTTGTGTCTTATGACTTCGGCCAACGTGCCTCGTGCCACAAAGGCAGGATGTCTCATTTCAGCTGTGACTCCCAAAGAAAATAAGAAAATAAATCTTTCTATGGACTGCAAAGATGTATCAGTATCTTTACCATTGTAATGTTGGACCTATTCTGTGATTGTCTCATTAAGTGGTTGGTTTATAGTGCACTAAACTATATGGTAGCCAGCGTTAACTTCATTTAGCTTCCTATTCATTTCAAGCAGATAAGATAAAGCAAAAGCCCCCATTATCAGCTCTAATGTCCTTCCCAACCCCTCTTTAAACCTGTGTGACAGAAGGCTGTGCTCTTTCTTGTACGAGGGAAAAAATATATTACGGCCTGAATTTGGCTCGTAAGAGGAAGTGAGAAGTGATGTAAAAATGAAACGACGTGACCTAGAATCGTGGGGTTGAACCCGGGGCAGTGTTTCCCCCCTCCTTCTGTAAAATGACCACAGGTCAGATGAAGCTGCTCTCAGTAGGATGTGACAAAGCATTTAAATGTCGGGAGAATTTCTTTGAAGGAATCCAACATGCACATGAACGACCCCACAGTACATGTAGTATGTCGACACAGGCAGGGCCACATATATATATATATATATATATATATATATATATATATATATATATTCATACATCATCTGCTTTTATAAACATTCACAAGCTGTTATCCTATTTAGCTTGTGATTTATTTATATTACAAAAGATGATACAAATGCTGACATAAATGATGCAGCTTTTGCCTATTAAGTGGATTAAACATTGATATGCGGTACACATTTCTTCTACGGCAGCTCAAGGCAGCTCTTACTCGGCTTATAACTCTTACAGGTAAAAGAAGCCTCGCTTGTCTCTTGTTGAAGCGTTTGCAGGGATGACGAGATCCCGAGCTTTGCTTATGAAGTCAAGCCACAATCAGCAGGGGCGCCTGTAGCACCTATTTGGTGTTGAGTTGGTTTGGGTGGTCTGTTCTCTGAATGTGAAGTTCATCGCTCCACGCAGGAGATACTTGTGCGATAATGGAGAGGCGAGTAATGAGGAACCCGGAGCCTGGGGGGTCGTGTGCGTGTGCATTCCAAAAACGAGCCTTTGCCAACATGCCTGCTCATTGGTGCGGTTGTGCTCACTGCTTATGTTAACCATGCATTGTTCTTCATTAGACCCCCCCACACCTCTCTCTCTCCTTCCTCCTCCATCTCCTTCCTGCTCTCTCTCTCTCTCTCCATCTCTTCCTCTTTCATCCCTCCTTCCTGGGTGCCATTATGCAACGTGCCGGGCTCGCTCTCTAATTCGATGTGAGCGGGCCAACCTATTATGAAGTCAGAGGGGACGGGGGTCTACAGTGGCTTATCAGAGCGAGACAGTGTCAGGGAGCCGTGCCGGGACACACCGTTGGAATAAAACATATTTCACCTACTGTCTGTAGCCATGCGTGCTCTGCCCAAATGACCGTCTCCTCGTCGGTGCTGTGAGCTTCGGAGCCTGTAATCCTGTTTTTTCTGCTAATGCGTCCTGTTACCGGTGCCTGGAGACTGCAGATTAGCAGGTGGGGGGTCCTGTGGTTTTGATGAGAGGTGATGGTTTTAAAACTGGTCTTTAATCAGAATCAGAATTGGCTTTACTGGTCACGTACGCGTACACGCACACTTGGAATTTGACTCCGGTTTCCACTTTGTTCTCCGCACCAATAAACAAGAGAAACAAAAAGTAGGACGGATGTAAGTATACACATTTACCGACTATCCAATATAAACTATACACATAGATCGCTAAGATATATATATATATATATATATATATATATATATATACATCCCTAATGTGTATATATATATATATATATATATATATATATATATATATACATTAGGGATGTACTTGCGTAGATATATATATTACCACTATTTAATGAACTACTCTTTGCCACTCTGCTACTATTACTGTTATTACGGAGAGCCAATTCCCTCTGCACAGCTGCTGGTCTATTACATTTAACGCTTTGACTACTCCTAATAATCCTGCTATATCTACTAGCAGAAGCAGTAGTACTATTTCTGTATTCGCTCACACTGAAAGCTGTTACTATTTCAAGTGTCCCTGTAGTTTCCCAGCAGCTACACGTAAGACTGTATGACATTAAAAGACTGTATGAATTATCGTCAATCCTATTTAACCTGTGGGGTGACAATGACATTATTAATCAAGTCTACACTAGTATTACAAAGACATGCGTGCTGTATTATTATTATACCTCATCGTCTGAGCAATACCATGTTTCACTCCTAAATGTTATAGATGTATACGCTCCTTGCAGCCGGTGGCACACGTACCTTTTGGCTGTCTAATGGATTCCCAGCGCTTTGATTTCCCGAACGCAACGATACGAATGCAGAACGTCACATGTGACTAATGTGTTGCACCTCTGTTTTGCAGCGTGGATATTCTTCTTTGTGATGGAAGAGGCTTTTGCTCTGGCACAGAGAACCAAAGGTAAGCCACAGCTCAAACGCTCTTCCATTCCATTAGTGTTGTCCCACCCGGGGCATTATCTCCACTTGAATCACACGACTTAATTCTCTCTTTATTCCCCGCCTGCTTCTTCCCTTTCTCTCTCTCTGTCGTGCCCGCCAACCCCCTCCCCGCTCTTCCTACCAAACGTTCTCTCATTGATCCCTCGGCTCAATAACCCATCTGTCCGTTTGTTCTCTGCCCTTTTGCTTCAAGACTCCCCGGGCGAACATGGCGGCCAGAGCCCCAGCCAGAACGACTGTGGCACGTGGGTCCGCAACATCAACGGTGGGGTGTTCACTTCGCCGAACTACCCCACCACCTACCCGCCCAACAAGGAGTGTGTTTATATCCTGGAAGGTAACGCATTGCTCCACTTCGTCTTCTGCTCAACAGCCGTTTTCCTCCGAACAAGCTGACACAGTTTCCCGCCTTTCTGCTTATTGCCTCCTTCACTGAGCGTCATTAGTCTGAGTGACATTGTTTTAGATAACCTTGCCCCTCTCTGATTTTCTCTTCCTTTCGCTGGCGGGCGATCAGCTTGACATTTTTTTTCAATGAGCCACGCTGATTTTGTTTGCCCCTACAGATATAACCCTTTGAAAATGATGAAAAGTGGCGCATTGTGGGTGGCTCCTGACTTTTGACCTAATCACTGCAGTGCTGCGTTCATTTCCATTGGCAGGCTGTGCAAGCAGCCCCAGCTATTGAATGAAACATGAAGCAGATGAACATCTGCTGCAAAGCAGCGCTTCGGTTGCGTGTCGCTGAATTGTCGGCGTCCTTGTCAGCTGTCAGCGCTTTAGTGTTTAGGAGACACAATGCATGTTGCATCATTTGCAGCTACATGACATGAGGTCTGGGATATTGGTTTGATTGGTTTTCACACCAAAGTGACGATCTGTCCGTGAAGTTAAAGTACACCTGCTCATGAGATGTGTGTACTTGTACTGGCTTACTGGTGTTGAGGAGAGATTTCACACGTGGCTCAAGGGCTCCCCCTGTGGACAAATCAATCCCAGACGTGTCGCTGATGGATAAGCTGGGACTCCGATTCCAGGTCTGCAAGGCGACAGAAGGAACCTATCATTTGCCATTATGTGTTCTGAATCGCATATCCGAGCTTCAGCCTCTCATGTTTCATACACACAGAGAGATGCTCACGTTTTGGCACAAGCGCTAATCAAATAGCTCTTTAATCATAATTAGCGGTTAGTGAAACTCATCGGTCGTTTCACGTGCACCGGCTCATCAGCTCAATAGATTCAGTGATTGACGGTTCTGCTCATTCGGTATCAAGCGGTGTCATGTGTGTGAGTGTGTGTGTGTGTTGTATGTGTGTGTGTGTAAGGGAGATAGAAAGTTATCTGCAGAATGAGACTCAGTGCACCAGGGAATGAGCACACTGATAGCAGGAAGTGCAGACGTACGAGCCGCTCGCTCAAGCAGAAAGGTAAAACACTCGGGCTCGAATTCAAAGACAAGAACAGGGAAAGAAATCCAGCGGCACACTGAAGCGTACACATGTGCTGCCCTGTTTCTTTTCTCCATCGGGGTATGTTCCGTTTCTCCATGCCAGAGATGATTCAGAGCCCCGCTCCCTCAGCATCTTTATTAAGTAGCATTCGTCCCCTAAGGCAGGCATGAATTGCCCTGGTTAAATACCTCCTCTGTGCGTGGGGCAGATGTTATTCATGCAGTGCATGAAAACAGGCGAACTTGTGAACTGCTGTTCCTGCATTGTTCTCACTCACTCAGAGATAGTAGTGCTGACATGTCAGACGGTGTCTTGTGTACATGTGGGTGCATACATACTTCTGTATGCATCTATGCATCTATGCATGATGTGTACCGTTGTGTGGGTAATAAATGTAAAGAAGATGATAGTGTTTCTCTTGTTCTCTGCTCTCATGTGTTATGCATGCAAAATGAATAGATGAATAGATGTGCTGATCATGCTGTCAAAACGCATTTGTAAACCAAAAGTATAGACAAAGTCCCGGTGATCTAATTAGGGTAAACATCTGCATCTACTGGGGGCTTCTTACAAATCTTACCTGGCAGTTATCCAACACGCTGAACATGTGAAGTGGGTCAAGTGTCCCCGGTGCTCAAATGGTCATTAGTCATTTCAATGGCAAGAAGCATTGATGCAGGACAAACGCCCTCCTTCCTGTGTGGTAATAATTATTAGCTCAGTATTGTTCTTCAGCTGAACAGAATAAGATCAGCAATGTTGAATTTCATGTTAGAAAAGAGCTTTGCTTACCTGCAATGCAGGTAAAAGTTTTTCTTTCCACACCGCGAGCAGAAGGTAACAATCCCAGCTGCTCAACTTCAAAATCCAGATTAACTCATATCTGACTTACTTTATGCACTCAGAAACCATCCAGATTTTTCTTTGTCCCGCAGAAGCCAGATTTAATTTTATTCCTGTCGTGGATTTAGCCCTTTTGTTTCCTTTCTCTCTCCACTCTCTGTTCCTCCAAAGCTCTTCCTAGACAAAGGATTCAGCTGGCGTTTGATAAGAATTACTACATCGAGCCATCATTCGAGTGCCGCTTCGACCACATCGAAATCCGCGATGGGCCATTTGGGTTCTCGCCGCTCATTGACCGCTTCTGTGGGGGAAAGAACCCGGGCCTGGTTACATCGACGGGGCGCTTCATGTGGATCAAGTTCACCAGCGACGAGGAGCTCGAAGGCCTTGGCTTCCGCATCAAGTACACCTTCATTGCAGGTAGGGACACCCACATTGCTTCATGGCAGTTTACATACTCTAATTCCACAGCGCAATCCTAAATTCTTTAATTGTATTTCAGGGTTAAATGTGTAAATAACGGAATCTGGTTCATATCTTTTTTGAAAATCCCTCCAAATATAGTGGAGAATCCGCTTACCTCCAGAAATATCCTGTACTTGTCGTGCTCTGCAGCAGACATCAGAACCTCCTCAATCTAAGCCCAATATGCCGAGACAAAAAATCGGTGTCTGGCATCAGGCGACAGATATTAGCTTCAGAGAGACCCCTCTCTGCTTCATCTGGCCGGGCTTAATGGGATCTTATCTTGTGTTCCCTGCTTATCCATTTCTACCGCGTGGATCGAGAGTAATGTGCCTCCCGAATCTTATCATTTCAGACCCTGATTTCCATCTGCACGTGGGCGGACTGCTGAATCCCATCCCAGGTAAGCTCTTCTGCATTTGGCCGATTTGTGTTCGATCCTTTTTGAAGAGCCCCTCTTGGCACAGAAGCTTACCGGAGGCGATCGCTGCCTCCGACGTGAATGCTGAACCTGCAAATGTAGCTCGACAAGCACACAATGTAGATGAAGTGAGAGGAGGTACACACACACACACATGCAGAGACTGAAACACCTGAAGGAACACACACCTCCTTCATCCCGATCTTCCCTCCCGGTCGTTCTGCCTCTTCTGTCCTCTTATTGTCCTTTGTCCTAATCCGCTGTGCTAACTTCTATTCCACCTTAAATCCTGTTCTTCTTTAAATAAAGTCCTTTGTCTATCTCATGTACTTCCTTGTGACATCTTTCTCACCCTGCCTATTCTTCACCTCTCTCTCTTTTTCTCCTCCTCTTTTCTTCTCTCCACGTTTCCTCCATCTATGTGCAGACTGTCAGTTTGAAATCGGGGGATCGGATGGGATTATTCGCTCCAGCCAGGTGGAGGAGGAGGAGAAAGTGAAGCCTGGTGATGCTCTGGACTGTATCTGGACCATCAGGGCTCCTCCTCATTCCAAGGTCAGTGCAAAGGACAATATTAGTCGTCAGGAATAATGTGTCCCATCCTTCAACCCGTGTTTGGAAATGATCCCTTTGGATTGTTAGGATGACTTCCATTCAAAATAGTTGACAAATGCACGTCTTAACATACTTAAAGCAGTTATGATATTACATATTAAAACACTCTGAGAACTCACAATAAATTATTCATCTCATCTTCGGTGGATATTTGTTGTCGACGCCGCTGAAAGACTGAATCATCAGCGACGTGTTTCCTACAAAGCTGAGCATTCCAAAGCTCAGTGTTTATTTTGGTCGAATTGCTGTTGTTGTTGCTGATTATTATTATAATCAACGATTACAATAATAATGGTGGAGAAATGCATGGAGTGGCTTTTTGTTCAGCTCTAAGCTGGGTCACATTTCAAGTGACACAAAATATGTCATCTCGCTGGCGACGCACGCACTCTATCTCGCGTATGAATATTCATCCAAAATAAGAATTCTGAGGAGGAATAATTACATTGGTGGAGCCTTGCAGTGTGAATTGGGGAGATGCTCTAAAGAAGAGCTAAGGATTGTCTGAACGATTGAGCGCTGCAGCACTTTGTGAGCACCTTGACAGTGTTCTCCATGTTGACCATCATTCCTTTCATTTGGCAGCGCATGTTTCAACCGAGAATTCATATTCTTATTATAACATATTCTGTAAAAATGCGTAGCGCATACAGTTATGTTCTCAAGTCACAGAGAACAAAGCATACCGGTGGCCATGTCTGTATTGTAATTGTAATTTATTACACAATAGGAACAAACAGTGCAAATATACAGAGGCATCGTGGAAAAAAGCAGGCAGATTGAATTGAGAAATCGTTGCCCTGGAGTTCCATAAGCACATATTTAAGCCAAGAGTGAAAGCCCAGTTATTTGTTCTAATAAGTTCAAATATGTATGAGTCGTTCATTGAAATTACAACCATAACCTGCCTGGCTTTGATTCACTGCTGCTCTGCTTCCCCCTCACGCTCCTATACTGCTCCCTCGCCACAACACCAAACCACCACGCTGCCACAAGCAGATCCATCCACATCTAATGAAACCAGACGTCCCCACACAGTCTCCAATTAACCAATACACCGTCCCCTACGTTACTGTGAGCAATGATGTATTTATTCACGCCGTACACCCATGTGTTACGCATGTCAACGCCGATGCATGAGTCACCCACACACACGCTCTGCCCGACGCCGCTCTCACGCACGCTCACCGGTCGGTCTCCACCGTCGTTCCACCGGTGCTGCGTGCGCCGTGTGAGGCAGCAGTGAGGAGCATCTGAATTTAGCAGCAGCAGCAGCAGCAGCGAGCAGCCAATCCGGGCATTAGCTCAACAAAGCAGAAGGAGCCGAGCAGCACGCTCAGCAACGGCGTTGGAGCAGCTCCTTAACGGCTGCGTGGGTACAGGAGCCCGTGTGCTAAATGTGCTGACGTTTCATCTGAGCCCCCCGGGGCCAAGATCTTATCGCACAATTACTGCTGACTTATTCAGACAATTTAGAGACATTATTTTCTAATTACTTTTGCAGGTTGAAGTGTAACGCCGCAATGGGTTCAGGCTCACTAACAGCAGGCAGGTGTCTGGACAAACCACAGGCGCTGGGGACGGCCTTATTAAGCCCGTCGGACGCGCCTCGTGTCATAAAGCACATTTGTAATCAACATTAACAACACATTTCGTTCAGCCGAGCCAGTCCCCTTTTGACAGGCTCGCTTACTGGAATGGCTTATCGTTAACTTCATTAGCAGCCCCCCTGACACGCCGGTGTGCTGTAGTCAGTTGGTTGATATTCTCATCCAATCGTAAGCAAGTGGACTATCACATTAGAAAGCAGTTCTGCCTTCATGACGATGGTTTTACAGACTGCGTAATGTTCTGAGCAGCTGCAGGTTCAGCTCAGTCGCCTCAGTCCCGCAGGCATTCTATGAATTGAGACACATCTCAGAGAAGAGAGGAGGCCGAGAGACGACTTCCATGGATCAAGTTGTTAGGCCATGAATGGTGTGTGCTTCCATCACAGCTTGGATTAGATTGATTTGATTCTATTGTCCATAAATGCATCTTCTAAGACGTTCGCCCGTACCAACGTCCGTGCTTTGGTACTAAATCATCATCTGTGTCTGAATGATTGCTTCACTGATTTACTGTAATGTCATATTTCCATATGATCGCCTTCATAAAGAGTCCGGCGGCTGGCCGTGGTCAGACCGCTAACGGGCACCACATTGGTTTGCATCTCCTGTCTCCCTGCAGATCTACCTGCGCTTCATGGAGTACCAGATGGAACACTCTAACGAGTGCCAGAAGAACTTTGTGGCCGTGTACGATGGCAGCAGCTCCATCGAGAACCTCAAGGCCAAGTTCTGTAGCACCGTGGCCAATGACGTGATGCTGAACAGCGGCGTGGGCGTCGTGCGAATGTGGGCTGACGAGAAGAGCCGCCTGGGCCGGTTCCGCATGCTCTTCACCTCCTTTGTTGACCGTGAGTGCCGCTCTTCTGGACCGCGCGGCTCAGCCGGGACCCTGCTGTCCCATCTTCTTCCACCATGTTGAATTGTGTCATTGTCACGTCTTCCCCTTATGTCGTGTTCATTCAGCACGCGGCACTTTCTTAATTTAATACGACAACAGAAAGAGCCACATATACGTTCTGTATCTCATTTGAAATATGACATTGTAACAAAGCAAGCTGAGGCAGCAGGTGATTGAGGTGGATCCGATTATATCTCCTCGTTGCAGTTTTGTCTGAGTTGTGCTTAGAATAATGGAGATCACCAGTAGAAGAAGCTCATCATCACACCACTGTATCCATCCACGCAAAAAAAACAGACCCAGGGTGTGTGTCGAGTGTGTTTTCAGCGTGGAGAGTTAATTACGGTGGGCCACGTTTAGAGCGTAGATATGAGAAAACCAATTATTTACTCCAGAATTTTTAAATTACCAAAAGCATCAAATCATTTTCGACATGCAGGTCGGAGCATGATACTGTGCTTATTATCGACCCCGTGCGAGAGGAAAATGGGAATATATCTATTTGGGTGAAAAGCAAATAGAAGGGTTAATGGATCTACTGAAAGTAATTATACATTACGCTCCATAATTTGTGGACAAGAAACTTCCTGGCAGATGCTGGTAAAGGTTTCACATATTAAGTGGCAGGAATTGCCGTGCAGGAGAGCGTTTTTCTGTTAGCACACCGTAATGTATATTTCATTAAATGCCTGAATAGTCTGAGATATTAATGGTCACATTCTCCTGCCCACTTGCCAAACCCTGGACGAATGCTAATGTTGTTTTCATCGGCCAACCCATAACCGTCCGTCACAGTTGAGCAGCCTTCTATGTTCAGCACCGGTTGGGTTTTCACTCCTTGAGTCCTTTAGACCATTTGGATCCCTTATTTACTTCTAATCACACGGTTCATCTCTGGGGAGTCTGAAGTCTCCTGAGTAACTCACAAACTTTATTTGGTCCCAGTCAGCGACTGGCTGAAAGTGGACCCGGAGGTCAGAGGGAACCATTAGTCTTTGTCGCTCAGAGAACGAGCGGAGTTTCTCTTCCTGCACTCCATCAACCTTAATGTGCTATAATCTCCAGACTGAGCCCCCTCTGACACGCCGAGCAGACGCATCCAGACTTTATTGAATTCTTGCTCACACCCACTGTGTGCATATGTTCAGATGGGAGGTGTGTGTGGGGGGGGGGGAGGGAGGACAGGGGTGAGTGGGAGAAGTGTTGTTGACACCCTGTGAGACGCTACATTTTGAAGGCGGGACACGTATAATAGATTTGGAAGCGAGCCCAGTGTCGGGGGAGCGGCCCAATCTTCAGGCTCCGTCTGAGATAGATGAGGTGGACTCTCCGTCACAACACACACACTATATTACGCACACCCTTCCACGCATATACACTGTACGTGTCCCCTTTGTCAAAATGATTTAACCCTGAGACCGAGGAGTTATGGAGGGAAGGGGAGCCTCAGAGGCCTCGGAGCCAAGATCGGGACTAATATTTCAGTCGAAAGGAGCTTGTGGAGGACAGTTTGGAGGAGTAAACAAGCCATAAGAGACGGGTGTAATATGATGTACAGATGTTGTGCTTGTTTGACACTGATCGCCACATCTGTGGTACCGTGGAGGTTGCGTGTCTCTCCACAGCTAATGAACAGTGCCGACGGCATGTTATCCCACAGCTTTTGAACCGACCCCCCATTCCAGCCCCGCTTTGTCTTTACCGAAGCCCAGACATTTGCATCTCCCCTGCGCCCTGCGGCGCTTCCTTCTGACTGGCAGTGCATCGATCTCCGGAGCCCGGCAGCCCGCATCAATTACCAGTCGTCTCTGTCTCTGCCATCGCAGCCTTCACACACCAACAGTCACTTTAATGTGCGATGTCTCACGGCACGGAGCCGGACCGCTTACACCACATGCAGCCGTTTCCACCACCAACCCCACCACCTGCCATTCTTTTCATCTTCTCCTCGCTGCCAACTCCCAGTTTTGGAGCCCCCCCCCCCCTCCTCCTAATCTGCCGTTTCTCAACGTCCCTCGTCGTGAAGGCTGCAGTGCAGTGAAGCTGCCATCTCCTCCCTCCATTGCCCCCTCGATGTGGTGTCTGCAGGAAATGATGATGTATGGCCTTGTATGGATTGTCTTCATTAGACATATATAGTCTCTCCTTCAACAGATTTCTACTTCAAATCTATCAATCTATCTCTTATTGTTATTTCCTTTTTATTGGTACTATCGTCTTTTTATGCTGTTGTTATACTTTTGTTTCTTTCTGAATAACGTAATCTTTACGTTTTATATTTTTCCTGCAGCTCCCTGTTCAGGCAATTCCTTCTTCTGCCACAGCAACATGTGCATAAACAACTCCCTGGTGTGCAACGGAGTTCAGAACTGTGTCTACCCGTGGGATGAAAACCACTGCAAAGGTGATCACAGTCTGTCAACTTTGTGTAAATTATGATTTCGGGGTTTGTTATTGTAGTTCTATTCTCTACCTGATCATTTTTGTTCTCAGTTATATATTTTGTTTTTCTGTATTTTTTCCTCTCCGTTTTTCACCCCGTCCCACTCCAGAGAAGCGATCCGAGGGGCTTTTTCATCAGATCACTAAGACCCACGGCACCGTCATTGGAGTCTCATCAGGAATAGTTCTGATTCTTCTCATCATCTCGATCCTGGTGCAGATGAAGCAGCCGAGGAAAAAGGTAGCTCATCCTTTGTGGTTGACCTTTTGTTGAGCAGGAGAAAAGAGACACATCACTGAAAGCGGCAGTGGATTTCTAGACGAGGGCACGGGGAAAAAGGGAAGAAATCACACCATATCATATGAGATGATGACTTTAAAAGGGATTTTATGTTTTGGTTCAACCAAACAGAACCAAAGAACTTTCTTTTAACTCGCCTCGATTATTCGTATTCATTGCGGATCTTTTGAGACTTCTCTGGAAATAAATGAATGTTCCACTGTAATGGATTCCTCCATTTATGACTGCTGAATACTCTGTAAAATGATGTATCAAAAAAGCACCTCGGGGTTTTTGACACAGAGCAGCTGATGTTTTAGAACAATGTGCAGTTAAGTGTTGTGTATTTCAAACAAAGAAAGGACTTTCAACGAGGAGCCCCGTATTTGTGTTGCAAAGTGTTGTTGCATTATTTCTAAGTTACTTCACGGATGTTCCTGACATGCATTTCGTGCTCACGTTACGTTGCTTACGAGGTATTTTAAGCCCTGCCTCAATATTTCCTCAAAACTAAGTGGTTTTGCTGCTTAAACACAGCAGGTCTGAACTGATTTTCTTCCTTTCAAGGTTGTGGTTCGCCGGCCTGGTGGTTTCAACAAGGCGGGCTTCCAGGAGGTCTTCGATCCGCCCCACTACGAGCTCTTCTCCCTGCGTGACAAGGAGATGTCGTCAGATTTAGCCGACCTGTCCGAGGAGCTGGACAGCTACCACAAGCTGCGGCGCTCCTCCACCATGTCCCGCTGCGTCCACGAGCACCACTGCGGCTCGCAGGCCTCTGTGGCCACGGGCGGCGGCAGCATGAAGCACAGCCGCACCACCCTGAGCTCCATGGAGCTGTCCTACCACAACGACTTCTCCAAGCCGCCACCCATGAAGACTTTCAACTCCACCTCCAGCTACAAGAAGAGCTGCTACGGCTACAAGCAGCACGCACAGACTCACGACTGCGACCAGCAGGTCATCGAGGACCGCGTCACCGAGGAGATCCCGTGCGAAATCTACGGCCGCGGCGGAGGAGGGATGGGAGGAGGCGCCATGGGTGGAGCAATGGGAGGAGGAGGAGGAGGGGCATCAGGGATTGCAGGAGGAGGGATCGGCGGAGGGGTGGGGATCACGGGAGGCGTGGCCATGGCGGGCGGGATGGGTATGGTGGGGGGAGGGGGCATGGCGGGCGGAATGGGTATGGTGGGAGGAGGGGGCATGGGGGGGCCGAGTGGCATCACCGGAGGAATCGGCGGCGGGATGGCAGGAGCCTGCGGAACCCTGGGCGTCCGTGGCAACAGCACGCGCAACAGTACCATCATAGTTGACCCACAGCAGCGCTCCATGTCCATGGACTTCTAGATGGCGACCAGAGAAGGGGAAACAGAAGGAGCTCATACTTCACTCGTGGAAAGATAGGAGCGTCCCAGTCATCTCAACCTGATCACTCCGCTTTCCTTCTTCTGCCTTTGCTAAAAGTATTGCACCCAAAGTCTGGTCCGATAACTTGGAAAATTGACGTATACGAACCAGGGATCACAAAGGCCATTTGGTTTTGTTCTTCAGGACACTGGACGACGGAGGGCGAAGGGAGGAAGGCGACATCTCGTCTCTCTTACATTCTTCTAATATCTTCTTTTCATATGACACAAACAAGAAGAAAGTTCTCGCATGCAGACCCTTGCTTCTCTCTTCTTGGGAGGCTTAGAAGACCGGGTAACCACTCAGAACCAAGCAGAAGAAAAGCCTGACTTTCTACATTTATTCACTGGACATGCACAGATATATGATACAAAGTGCGTCTTCTAATAATTTGAGTCTTTATTTTTGTCAGTGTACTGTACTGTTCAAATCAGTATATATCCTAACGATGATGCTGGGCTTTTAACTCTTTTTGCTCAGACGATTTTATGAAGATGACATATGGTAACGGTCACGAGGTTGCTGTTGTTGATGATGATCAGATATATGACGACGATGTTAAAGATGTGATATTACTATAATAATTCTGTAATTTCTATGGTTACCTCCCAAGTACACAGGGTGACCTTGAGTATCTCCTCAGGAAGAGCACATGAAGAGACCTAGGGTCTTATTTTGGTAAGCAGTAGAGAAGAAAAAGTCTATTCCTGCTCTTTGAGCTTTACAGCATGTGGACATTCAAGCTATGAGTGATTGTTTATGGAACAGGAAGTGTTTGCTTGTGAAACCTTGACTGAAACAAAATAGAAACCATCCCACTTCCAAACCCCACCCTTACCAGGAGAACATGTATCTCCTTCATTTCCCCATGAACTCCGTGTGTAAAGACAAGCACAACCTGTTACCCTGACGAGACGGACGTGTAGCCTATAGGGGACTCATTTATGGTTTTAACCCACTGGTTGTATGTTTTCATTCTGTTGAATTAAATGAGAGTTTACTCACCTCCCTGTTTGAGCTTTTCTGTTCACTATAACCAAGGAATGTGAAAATGGCACCACCCGTAGGCGTGTCAGTAAGGTAAGATACTCAGTGACACGCAGATAGAAAACAAGTAGCCTATTGACGTGCTTCAAGTAGGATTTATTTGGTGAATGGTGTAAACCTTGATTGTACGTTAAGGTTGGATTTTTACAATGTAAGGAAGATCCAATCCAGCTGTTGCAATATAAGCAGTTCTTCTTCAAGGATTATTGAACCAAATACCTAAACATTATGCAGATCCTCTTGACTGCCCACCATGAAAATAGGTTAATATTATTATTCTATGCATTTTGTCCGAGGTTCTAGAGATCAAGATATGTGACCTTCAGAAGCTACACCAGGCTCTGGTGATGTGTTCCTTTGCGACACAGATGCATACCGTCTATATATATAACAAACAATTAGATGCAAGGATGATAGTCATCTGCAGACAAACCATTCTCCATGTTTCTATTTGCTGGTGAAAACTTACAGGAAGAGTTTCAGAACAGTGAAACCCTTTTTTCTTTAATATATCAAGATTAACATCATTTGAATAAATCATATAGATATTTAATAATACCCTAACTTTACATAATATATATATACTTTTTAATTAATCTGGTCAATAAACAAAAGTCTCACCGCATTTCATAATAAAGCAGAAAATAAAGAAAGAATGGGAAGCAACAATACAAAACAAAAGCATTACATCATTTCCCCAACAGCTTAGCACAATCAGACAATCAGAAAGACGTGTGCGATGCAGACCTGAGGCATGTTGGAGCCTGAGGCAACGTAGCAGCTGTCTTAGGGCCCCACATGCACAAAACCAGTCCATTAAAAGCATCACAGGCATCCAACTGTCAGCTAAATGTTCCACAGCCAAGCAGGCACATGTATTGTTGTTACACACCAGCGTTGTGTGGTGTGAAGGTAGTGTCTGATTAATAAAGATGTTTCCCTCCAAGGTTCCAAAAAATGTACTGTGACAGTTTCTCATATATACTTGGTAGTGTGAGGATTAACTTGCCCCTGCATATTTAAAAACACAATGTGACCAAATATCCTGTAATAAAGATAGTTTTTCCAGCTTGTTGATGTTGCTTTCTATAAGTGTCTTTCTTTTTCTGCATTTTTTGTAATCCAAATAGACTCTGGGATAACTCCATCTATGCTACAGAACAGGACATATTGAAATATACTGATTAAAACATTTACAATTCAGAAATATGGAAATTGTATTAATAATTGTGTAATGTAATATTTTCTCCTTTAAAGATCGACCACGGGCTAAAACATATTATTATCCAGTGACTACCTTTATTAATCAAATACAATTTATTCCATAATCGGTTTCTCGCAGCGATGTGTGAATCATTCTTCTCACCTGCAGCCGGGAGGCAGCAGCGTTCACTCGCGGTGTCTAACTTTCCGGAAACAGACAACGAGGCGAGTGAAACATTCCGCACCGGCTCCTTCTCTTTGTCCATCCAGCTCCCCGCTGAACAACATCCACAGCAGCACCATGGCGACTGTCGTAGATACCAAACTATACGACATTCTCGGGGTTTCTCCATCCGCAACTGAAAACGAGCTGAAGAAGGTAGTCACACGCGAAAGACCGAACGGGATACGAGACCACATTACGTTTCTGTGTCGAGTTTCGAAATTGTGAAAAAATGCTACAATCAGGAAATGCGTTGCTATGCGCAGCTAGCTGCTTAGCTGCGGCTTGGGCTTGCTAACAAGCTAACAAGCTAACCGGCCTGGATGTTCATGCGACGATGAATTGCTATAAAGTCAACGGATGTGGGTTCGGTAAAAGCGCGGCTTTTGTTTTGTTTCGTCTTAACGAGAGGCGACACCCTTTAATGTATGGTCTTTCTTAAACATGAACCGTGTCGTGTCGAACAATATCCAAAAGCAAGGTTGAGCTAACATAACGCTTTCTAGCTAATTAGCTAACGTTGTGGCGTTAGCATTGACCTCACGTTAGCTTTAGCTCCGATGCTTGTCCTGTTAGTTAACCTAGCGTTAGCTAGCCAACATTAAATCTGTCGAGGCTCCAGGAATGAAGCAGCGTTATTTTGTTCATCTGTTGGCTCGCTGACAGAAATGCGCCAGTGGAGGGAGTGTGAGAACATTATCAGTAGCTTCAATTTAAGTTTAGCCGACTCGATTAGCGCCGGCTATCTAGCGTCTATTCGGTCGTACAGTAACGTGACTGTACACCGCTAACGTTGGTTGATACGGGTCACATTTTACTAGCACCACTAAATGGGGCCTGGATAGTTTTCACCTTTAGTCGCTCGACTTAATATAACGCTCTTGATCAAGCGATGTTGACGAATATTCAACCCCCGCGACCATGATCCGGCGCTTTAACGTTACATGCGTGTCATTGTAACCTCGTTGCAGCCAGCGGTTAATTAAGTATTTACTTCAAGGCCCTTGATCAACAATATTGACGTCAGACAAAAGGATAAACGCTTATCCCTTACCGTAGCTGAGATGTTAGTTAGCAAGGTATACTAATTACCACACGCACTTTTACATTAACGTTATTTTTATGGTTATTGGTTATTTTTTTTAGAGGGAAAGGGGGGCGACGACGAGAAAATGTTAATTAACGGTTTGTCCGGGTCGTGATCTAAGTGATTAACAGAAATAACTAACGCAGTAATGCAGGTGTTATGCCGGCTGGAACATCTGGTTTGTTCAGGAAGGCACGTGCGATTGCGTGTGTCATGTTGCTGTGTGTGATTCCAGGTAACAAGGCATGTCGTCAATGATGATGGCTTTAGCCAATAAGGCTCCCTCTTTTTTGTCCTCCTAGTCATACCGGAAGCTGGCAAAAGAATACCACCCGGACAAGAACCCAAATGCTGGTGACAAGGTGAGACAGTTTTGAAGCCGTCATCGTGAGTGTGTTTTACCAGTGAAACAACGTGGGGAGCAAACTGGAATATTTGAGTGCTGTTTTATGTAATTGCTGCTTGCCACAACAATTTCTTGAAGGAGAGAGGCCCTGTTGGTGATTGGAACCTTCTGCTTGTGGTCTTCTTTTAACCATGTGTTGAAATTCGAAATTGTATGTGAGGGGTTTTTAAACGACCCAAGTTTAAAAAATATATTTTTAGTTCTTCCAACGGGGCTTACAAACATTTTTCTTGTCCCCATAACTTTCTTTTCTATTACTGGTGGTATGTTGTGTCACTGTGTTTAGTTAATCGGGAATTAAGGATCACATTTCCATCCTTTCCAATAGGACAATGTCCTCGGCACAACTATTTGTAACTGGGGAAAACCCCTTTGAAACACTGATGTCCAGCTGGTGGTGTCCAGTGCTCTGCAGTGACCTTATTGATCAGAGGAATCCTGTTGAATTGCTTTGATCCGATTTTTCATTTTTTAGACTTGCGTAATGCAAATTCGATCTTTACATTTGAAACTGGAATTGTTCAAAAACTGACTAGTTAAAATTAGCTGGAGTTATATGTACAACTTGTACTTGGGTTAACGATCTTAAAACCACTCTGAGCCCTCTTCGGGGGTTTGGAGTGTTGAGCAAGGGTGCATGTGATTAGTGTAAGAGGTGTGGAATGGCCCTTATGTAACGTTTGCAACCTGATGCATGCTTTCCTTGTGAATGACGTCACTATTGTTCCCACATGAGTTGAGATAAAAGATAAACAGGATGTCTTTTTCGCGTCCTGACCTGGGGTTAATTTTCTGTTGAAGTCCAACAACGTCACTGCTTTTACAGTAGGGATGTTGATAAATTAACGGACCGCTTAAAAAAATATCTCAACCATTTAATACTGTCTGTTAAAATGAGGTTATTTTTGTTATTTAGCTTAAGTCAGGATTGTCCTTTCACTTAAACGTCAGCCCTCTTTAATTGAACCTGGGCTGCTGCACGCAGCCTTCACTTTAATCAGCTGGTACCACCAGAGAGTTGTAGCATGAAATTACCAACGGATAATCTGTAAAGTTGAACACACTGTATTAATGTTCACAGCTCTGTGGCTATTGGTAACTTCATACTCCCTTTCGCACATACTCCCTCTTACTGGGAAATTGGCTGCGTGTGTCCACAACAACGGACACAACGTCCTGGCAGGTGAAGTGGGGACTTGGTGGCCTGTTTTCTGCGCACACAGCAGCTGGTGGTAAATGATTGACGTCACCAGATGTGTGCATTGTTGCAGCTGTGCGTGTTGTTGGGAAAGTTCTGATTTATAGATGATGATCAGCTAAAGACAGCCCACTATCACCTGAAAAAGGTCTTTCAGTTCAAATTAGAAATCAAAGTTTCATTACAATTTTCTCTCCCTCGTCTGTTTTCTTAAAACACAGTTCAAAGAAATTAGTTTTGCCTATGAGGTGTTGACCAACCCTGAAAAGAAGGAACTTTATGACCGCTATGGAGAACAAGGCTTGCGGGAAGGAGGCGGGGGCGGCCCGGGGATGGACGACATCTTCTCCCACATCTTTGGAGGAGGACTTTTTGGATTCATGGGAGGACAGGGCAGTCGCTCAAGGAATGGAGGTCGGCGGAGAGGAGAGGACATGGTCCACCCACTCAAGTAAGACTCGGCTTGCCTGTTCTTGTGCAGGCTAATTGAGTTCAATGGTTATGTGCAGCAATATTTTAAGTTAATTTAGTTTAAAGGTCCTGTTTTCATTACAAGCCAATGTTTTACATCATCTGTTGTCACTTGACACTTCTAAAATTGCACTTTTTCTACAGGGTGTCACTAGAGGATGTTTACAATGGGAAGACAACTAAACTTCAACTCAGCAAGAATGTACTCTGTAGCACTTGTAGCGGGTAAGTTGCATAACCAACATGGTGCTAGAGCTCCTGTTGATGTCTGCTTGGTCAATAACTATTCCACTGTTTACTCGTTATGTTTCTTCTAACTATAAGTTTGCCTCCTTATGTGTGCGCAGGCAAGGAGGCAAGACAGGCGCTGTTCAAAAGTGTACCACGTGTAGGGGGCGTGGCATGCGCATCATGATCAGACAGCTGGCCCCGGGAATGGTCCAACAGATGCAGTCTGTGTGTACCGACTGTAACGGAGAAGGTAAGGGGCGCAGCCATCAAGCACTTACTGTGTTGTTGTGGTTCGACCTGCATACACTCCCTCACCCTGTCTCATTATCCAACTCCAGGTGAAGTTATCAGCGAGAAAGACCGCTGTAAAAAATGCGAGGGCAAGAAAGTTGTGAAGGAGGTGAAGATTCTGGAGGTGCACGTGGACAAGGGCATGAAGCACGGCCAGAAAATCACCTTTGGAGGGGAGGCTGACCAGGCACCCGGCGTCGAGCCTGGGGACATTGTCCTAGTCCTGCAGGAAAAGGAGAACGAGGTAGGACGTCTTCAGATATTGGAGTCACACTCTGCTTAAAATGCCCCCCTTCCTAGCATTCAAGCGTTGACGTTCCTGTAAGGTTGGTATTTTCCATGTTAGTTGTGTAAAACATTACAACCGGGTAACATTATTTTCATATGCTGCTTCACAATAAAAGCCAAACCCAATAGCTGTTTGCTATTCTTGTTCTTGAGCTTTGCTTTGTCCCTTTGACGTTTAGAGCTTTTGTCTTGTTTTTATTTTATTTCTCACTCCCGCTTTAGCAATGAATAAAATAAAGTGTCATTCACTACCTAATACTTTTAGATTTAGGGTGACAAAGAATTCTTCTGCCATAGCACATACTTTAGCCGCTGTTTTGGAAGTATTTGGTATTTTGTGTGACAGACTGCAAAATGTAAAAGCCAAATGGGCTACTTGACTGCACACAGGGTTTCCTCTGGATGGAATAATACAGATAATAAAGATTTACATGAGGGACAGTAGGTTCGTCCTGGAGAATAATATATGGCATTGGGAAGAGTTGGAGGACCACCGTGAGGAGCGAGCTCAAGACCACACAGCAGATAGGGGACATGTGCACCTGCCGAGTTATGGTACGTTCACACCAAAAGCAAAGCGAAGCAAATTTTCGCCCCGCGTGACTAAAGCGTGTTATTCCGCTTTGTTCGCGCCTGGAAGGGGGCGTGGCTTGTCTCCAGTTGACGAGTGGTGATGACGAGCAGAGCATCTCAACGCTGATTGGTTTCGCAAGACAGCGTCGGGCGCAAAAGCGATTTCGCTTCGCTTTTTTGCATCCCACGTCTTTCATGCCGCCCGTTTAAAATTTGCCTCATTTGCGACCAGGCGCGTTTGTGCATTGGCATGGAATAATTTGCTTCGCTTTTGGTGTGAACGTACCATTACTGTGTTCTAGTGCATGTGGTGTATTTTTAGTTTCACCTTTTTCATTGAGGTAGTTTAACTACTACTACTACTACTTAACTCAGGTTTTTCTTGTGCAGTCCGCAAAATATGAGTGATGTATAATTTCTGGGTTACAGTGAGCAGTTTGTCACTGCGGTCGGGTCCAGTTGGAGGTGTTTCATTGCGGTCCAAAGTGCTAACAACCCAGATTGTCTTGACTTCGGCCGGCTGTCAGCGCTGTATGTTGAACAAATTTAGTGCGTGGAATAAGTGGATACCCGCCATGATGAATGTTGGCCAACCTGTAAAAACACAGCCCCTTAATTCTGAGTGTAACATGCATTCAGATACGTTTTTTTCTTCCTAGCTGTTAGTTGTTCAGACATCCTTTTTTTGTGTAGTGTGTGTGTGTGTGTTTGCCTCAAGTTGCCCAAAACAGCAGATTGGTGAAATACGCAGCTGCTGAGGCCTGGTCTACCAAAACATCTGTATGGAGCCGTCTGGCAGCTCAGCCTTCGGTGGTGGGGGCGCCTTTGCCAATTAACACAGCCAGCGTAGTTCAGACGTGCTATCGATGAGCGGTGTGCAGTTCTTGACTTCTGATTGAGATAAGCGCCTCAAACACGTCTTTCTACGAGTTGAAGGAAGAACGTGCTGATACCAGGGCTGTAACCTCAGGAAATACACTTTAAATCCTGCCAAAGTAAATGCTTGGTTGGCAAATAACAATGCAACATCTTTTCTTCAATACACTTATTTTAATTATTAAAATTGTTGTATGGCATCAATTTTTAAAAGAGAAACATGCATGTGGGTTTCACACAGCCTGCCGAGTGTCTTGCGTGCCTTTCGCCAGCAGATGGGGGCATTTTGACAGATTGTGTGAACACTGGTTGGTTATTGAATTCCTTAGTCTTAGAATGGTGGCGTGCAAAAGTTCCTCAACTTGCAGTTTTAACAATCTCGTGCCCTCTATTTCCAGACATTCAGGCGAGATGGCAACGACCTGTTCATGAACCACAAGCTGGGGCTGGTGGAGGCGCTGTGCGGCTTCCAGTTTATGCTGAAACACTTGGATGAGAGGCAGCTTGTTGTGAAGTATCCTCCTGGCAAAGTCATTGAACCAGGTAATCACTCTTCATACTTGTACTTGTACACGTGGTGTGCTAATGATGTTAATAATCTCTGGAGACGCGGAGTGTGTTACAATAACAATGCACTCGCACCAAAGCACACCGAAACTCATTTTATTGCTGTAAAGGTTTGTGCGGAGAATTCTGTCTCCTTGTATGACTGTTACAAAGTGGTGGGGGGTGAGATTCTACTTGCGCCGGGCAGGTTTTATGGTAAAAGTGATGACACACTGGGTTCCTGCTGAGAGCTTAATACAAGGAGGCACGTTTTAGACGGCGCTAAGCCGCTCCAGGGTGGTTTGACTTTGGTGCCTTGACTCAAGGACTCATCAGCGGAACTTGATAAATGAGGGGAGGCTTTTAGGAGTCAACTTTTAGAAGTTACAAGTCCAATAAGTAGGTTGTTCACCTCCTGAAGCGATGGAGGTTAACAAATGCTGTACCCTTGAGCAAAACCATTTTGTTGTATGAAAGTCGTCTGTATGAATAGATTTGACCTGAGTATCTACACCCACAGGCTTCTTTTGTTGGATTCCATGCCTGTAAACACAGGACTATACATCTGGGGAAGTGTTGGAATCAGCTGTAATATAGTTTGCTGCGTGAATAACTTTGGACCGGTAGAATCTGACACTTCGTATCAGCCCGCTGTGAGTAAACCTTTAACACGCTGCGTTTTTTTCCAGGCTCGGTCAGGGTGGTGCGGGGAGAGGGCATGCCACAGTACCGAAACCCCTTTGAGAAGGGAGATCTGTACATCAAGTTTGATGTCCAGTTCCCCGACAACAACTGGATCAGCCCTGAGAAGCTTGTGGTATGTATACCATCATCTTCCCTCTGGTTCATTGTAGTGAATACACAAACACCCAGAACAGCTGCAGCTAAGAGTCAGATTAAGAATTTAGAGCTTTCAATTCCAGTGATATAGTACAATAAAATCAAGAGAAAATGTGAGATTTCCGGCTTCTTTCTTTCTATATGGGAGTGGACGAAGCGCAATCAAATGGACAAATGGATATAAAACATAAGTTGAGCTGAGACTATTACCGTAGTTAACTATTCTATTGGTTTCAATTTTTATTAATGTCTTTGCGTTTTAGTTTTTTATGGACAAAGGCGTTAATAAAATGCATGTATTGGTGCTACAATGCGAATCCGCTGGCGTAAGGTCATGTTCTCCATAGACTTCACCCCTTCACAAGTAAGAATTTGCATATGTTCGCCCGTACATTAACACGCTGCTTTCGCCCCCTGAGAAGTCTGTGCACTCCTTGCTCCTCAGCGAATTCCCTTTGATTCAAACGGTTTCCCTCTCCTCTGTGGTAAGACTTAGCATCCCGTTGATGATTGTGTTGGTGTGTGTGTGTGTGTAGGAGCTGGAGGACATGCTGCCCTCGCGGTCGGAGCCGCCCATCATCACCGCAGACACGGAGGAGGTGGACTTGCAGGACTACGACGTCAGCCAGAGCTCGTCATCGGGCGGCCGCAGAGAGGCCTACAACGACAGCTCCGACGAGGAGGGCGGCCACCACGGGCCGGGCGTACAGTGTGCCCACCAGTAGAAGTCGCATAATGTATTTAAGATGAATCCAAACAAACGGCCCCTGGGAACGCGCTGTAGGACTATGATCTGGTGTTCTAGGTGAAGCCCCTCCACCCTTCCTTCACCCCCAATATAATTACATTCCCCCCGTAGGTGGAAGCTCCAGATAAAAGAAAGAAATGTTTCTTGTTTGCTGAGTGACTTTTTTTTTTTTTTTTCCCCATAGGATTTACGAAAAATTATTTAAAATTAACCAATGTGCATACATAGACCAAACAGCTGGGCAATGCGACCTCGGACTCGTGCATTCATGGGTTCATTTATTCGGCGCCATTCGTAGGACATGTTTCTGATTTTTTTTTTTACAGCTTTATTTTCTTTGTTTTAATAAAACAGAAAATTGGTTATTGTGTGTATCATTGGACTGGTTGTTGGTAAGCTTCATCAGCTGCTGTGTTCAAGGCTGTGATTTTTTTTTTTTTTTAAATGACAAGTGAAAATATGACAAATGTAGAGCTTGTATCTGTGCAGAGACCATGTGCATGTAAACAAGCTTTGGTTCCTGCACTTATGAAACAAATAAAGCAGCACACTTCTTAAGAAAATGTCTATGAAGTTGTTGAATAAATGGTTGAAATAGCAATGCACTGTCACTTGCTTTGTTCCCCCTCCTTCATTTCCACAATCACAAAACTCAAAACAGCATTAATTGGACCTGTGTTTGCAAATTCTGGGAATATTCAAAAGTATAAACATTTCCATGGAAATTAATGGGATACATTTAAACCTTTGTGGTAATTTAACTATTTACTTTGTCATATAACATTTAGTTTTGCCTTAAGATATGCATGCAAAATGTTGTAATTTAGTATGTGCTGTATTCCATACATCTTTGAAATATAGTTTTGAATTGTGTTGTTGTACAGCCCTTTATTTGCAGTTACTGTATAAGTTGCTGTGCTTTTTGATTGACCCTGACAGCTGTGAATAGTCACACGTATGTAGTATTATGTGGACAAACATCCATCCTACTATCACTGCTGTAAAAAGAGAGAAATACATTTGGTATGTTCATGGCTTCAGTTTACCAGGGAATCAATATGCTGGTTAATGACCGATATTCAAAAACAATTCATATATCGTTTCCCAGAGCCTCAAAGCATTACACTGGAAAATCAACTGTTACTAGACATAATCCAGTTACCGTCATTACCACACAACCCTCAATGTGGTTTCACCGGTGTCTCTGGGTTGAAGATGACCTCATCCAAGCTAAAATGGTGATGTCTCGAATGTGACACTGGTTCTCTGAAAAAGCACTGACCTCTAGTGCGCTACGGAATGTTTAACAATCCATTTTGAGTCCATGTATACCACTGAGTTGGCTGCTAACTAGCTAAAGCTGTTGCGTTGACTAGTATAAAATAATTATTTTGCTATTACTATTTTATTATACTTTTTTCTTCTGTTATTTGTATATAATGGCATTTTTCGCGAGATGCGTGTACCGGCGCCGTGGCTTAGATGGTTAAAGCGCCTGTCTAGTAAACAGGAGATCCTGGGTTCGAATCCCAGCGGTGCCTTTTGTTAAAGTCCTCTACGCGTGCCAGTTACCTGAAATTCATTAATGGACAGTGCTACAGCCGTCTAACAAACCTGCAATTTTATTTACTCCAGAAACACGCTCCGTGGAATGTGTGAAACTGCCGAAATCGAAATGAATGTGGTGTATATTCACTTGCCAGAGGGGGTGTAAGTACATCCTCTCGCCACATGTGGGCGGCAGTGAGCCGGCTAATAAACCAAGAATCCGTCAGACTGCACCGAGGGATTGGGTGAAGACAACCATGAAGCAACCGTGTTTTAGATGTAACGTTACTCTTCATTTCCACGTAAACACCGTCCGTGGTCTAATCTCTACTTTAGGAATACGTCTACATGTTCTTTCCAACTGTTCGTTACGTCAAACCCGTGAGTGCTGAGGGGAGAAAACATATAAACAAAGAATAATGTGGACCACTTTGTTCTGTTAGATGCGGCAAGCTGAACATGGAGGGGCACGCAATCAGAGCGGAAGTTACGTAGTTGTGTCTTCAAAACAAGAGCGATAAAACATAATTTCTTTAGTTAATACTTGTCAACATCCAGATCGTTTTGTAACATAAATATATACGGTCTAAATCATTCGTAGCTGATATTCGACCTTTACAACTACACAACAATCCGTTAAGTACAGCGTTAGACCGTTTGCGTTGACCAACATCAACGCGATGCTACGTCGACGATGAAGAGCGGCTCTTGTTCTGAAAGCGTTGCCCGGAAATCGCGTAGTTCACGCTGGCGTCTTGGCCACCGCTGCATAGGACCCAATTGCCTGTACGCCGCGCCGCTGGAGCACCGTCTGGTGTGTGTCTGAGCTAAAAACAGATGCGGGGGCTTCGCCGGAGGACACACATGTCGAGCGAACCGCGGACATCGTGTCCGGCATGAAAGCGGCGGGTCCCCGCCGGACCATGGGGCCGACGGGGCTGCTGCTCGGGCTGCTGTGGTTCCGCGCCGCTCTGCTCGCTGCAGGTGAGGAAACAACAATGCGTCCGAGGTGCCGTGGTGTTTTGAATGGAGTCCCGTGCGCGTAGCGCTAAACCCGCCGACAATACGCGGCCGTGTGCCGGATGTGACCGACGGAACCCGGTGAGCGGGTTCAGCGTGTGTCGGCGATACCCGGCGAGGCTCTTTGTGGTCTCTAAAGCTTCTAACATCCATCACGTCACTCCTCGCTGCCCGCTCCACAGCAGAACCCTCTCATAAACCCGAGGGGGGTCACTCTGCTAAAGTGATGTGATAAACCAGGACCACAGGGTTTCATTGTTGTGATCGAACCGGGGGGCTGGGGGGGTATCACTGTCCGCGAAAACCCCCGCAGCCATCGATCTGTGGTCGGTAAACGATCGGGCTTAGCGTGGAAACATGGATGCTCTTTCAGCATTACATCACTGCTTCTCTGCAGACTCCCCCCCCCTCCCCCTTGTTATCATATCCTCTACTTTGTTTGGCATGAAGATCCAGGAGATGTCTGTGTCTGTGTGTGTGTGTGTGTGTGTGTGTGTGTGTGTGTGTGTGTGTGTGTGTGTGTGTGTGTGTGTGTGTGAGGGGGGACAAGTATCACACACCATCCCAACGTGTTAGTACTTGTAGCACATTTCACACAGAGGAGGCCCACTTCACTTTGACTCACACACACACACCTCACAGATGTAGTGTTTTTGCCACAGGGCAGAAACATTGAAGGGATTAATGCTGCACATGAAATCTGAACACGAAAATGAATCCACCGCCTCTCCCACGTGCTCTGTACAGGTGCCGATGGTGGAATGTAAACTCCACTGCTACAACTATTCTGAGGTTCTTGTACATTACTTTTCATTACACTACTACTCAACAACACGTCAAATGGTTAAAAGTTTTACTTTTACCCCACTATTTATGTGAAACTGCTGTATTTAAATACTGGCCTTTGAGTCTGAGATTGACCCCAAATCACACAATACAATTAATTAAAGTATCATTCACGTGTTGTTGCGATGTAGTTAAGTCTTGTTGGCGCCTGTGTATATTATGTTTTCCGTTGAACATTCAAAGGAGCCACTACTGCCGTCTCGTTAAGGCCCTTGAGGGCCACTATCAGGGGAGACACTTCTATTTCTTCAACTGCTGCTGTGATCTGATGTGAATTATAAATTCTACGTGCATGTTTGGCAGAAACTATAAATGCAGTAGCCCAAAGCCACTAAAATGAAGAAGAAGATAGTTTGAACCTGCAAGCAGGTAGAAGCTGTGGTAGCTCGCAGATTGGTCATTACGTTTATTGTTGATCATAGAAAATTACATTTAGAGCATCTAACAGCGGAAAAAAACACCAACATTGTGGAGCTCAACTTTCCAGACTTTGTCCACTTTACTGTGCGTGTGTGTCTTTGTATTTGCGTGTGTGCTCAGGTAGCTGTGTCCGGATAGTGGAGTAATCACTGATCCTAACCACCCACCCCCCTATTCCCCCCTTTGTTTCCCTCTGCTGACTTATCTTATTCATCCAGAAAGCCTGAGACACACACACACGCACACACACACACAGCAGAACTGGGCAGACTCTGCAGTGTGTGGACGTTGGATAGTCTTCATTGAAGCTAATGTTCTGCCTCTGTGGTGGTTGTTAATTAACAGACTCGTTGCGCGGCTCCATCTTGCACGCGTGTCATTCCCGCGGTGGCAATAAGCAATGATGAGATGATTTCGAACCGGCTGAGATTTCTCCCACTCATTTGACATTGACGTCCCGGTTCTCCTTTTAACAACGGATCCTTCTCCTTTGACGCTCTGCAGAACCTAGAGGACTCCGAAGAGGAGGGAGCCTTATTCCCAGAGCCCCTCTTGTGCCTCCTCACACCTCACTGCTTGTTCCCTGGTGCGATGGCAGCCGCCGACGCTGTCGCCACGGCTACCGGTCTGACTGCTGCTGCATTCTGTTGTAGGCCCCCACAGAGCCACTGAGGTCATCTGTCTATTTGAGGAATTGTTGAATTTACAGCTTTGATTTGAGACAAAACACGGGGACAAAATCTGAACTTAAGCGTTTTAGTAGAATGCAACAGCAATGCGGTGGAAGCATCGCAGCTACTATCTTAAGGTCATGAGTTGAAAGGAAGGAACTAATGTGCGTATTTCTGCAGCCGCAGGGTGGATCCCGCTGAGCGTGCAGAGTCCCTAGTTCTTCATGAATAAAGGAATAGACCATATCTCTCCTGTGATAGGTGGAGTAGTTTAGCTCGTACGGGTCCAAGATGGGTAAAAGGTCACAAGATTTAATGATACAATATGTATGAAAAGTGTGGTGATGCTGCAGAGTCCTCTTAGTGTCAACACATCCCTTTGAAAGGACTGACACATTGCCAGTGTTGATCTTTCTGTGGCTTTGTACTGTATGAGTACATGTCACATGACTCATACAGACCTAACGCTGACACAACAACACTGGCCCTCGACGTCATTAATGTGCGCGTGTTCCCATCCTGCTCCCTATCTTTGCCCCCCCCCCCCCAGCAGGCTGCAGCGAGCGAGCGGAGGTCCACACCGAGCGGAGGGGTGTGATCTACAGCCCCTCGTGGCCTTTGAACTACCCCGCCAGGGTCAACTGCAGCTGGCACATCCAGGGAGGCCAGGGAGAGGTGATCACCATCAGGTAGAGGCCGTCACACGTGCAGCGTGCGCACAGCACTTGTTGGGGAGGAAGCACCTGACATCATCCGTCCTCTGCCTTAGTTTCCGTAACTTTGACGTGGCGGAGTCTGCGAGTTGTTCGGGGGACTTTCTCCTGCTGACGCCCACGAGGAACGGGGAGTCCAGGCTGTGCGGCTCCACGCTGCCGCCGCCCTTTATCTCCACCAGGGGGCGCGTTTGGCTGTATTTCCACTCCCGGGCCAACAGCTCCGGGCAGGCGCAGGGCTTCCGTCTCTCCTACATCAGAGGTACACTGGATAAATGTCACAAGTTCAAATATTACTGAGGAAATCAGCTGTGCGCGCGAAAGGTTTCAGTGTGATGGAGGTGAGGGCTTAAAATGCCGTGTTTCATTCCTGCATGCGGCCGTTTATCGTCGTAACTGAACTGCAGTGTCCTCTCATCATAGCCGTGGCAATGCTATTAACCTGTCCCGCCCTCACGCCACAGGAAAACACTCAAATCTGCCTTTTTGTCATTGTTTGGAGTTACAATATCAAATCATGTAAAGGGTCTGCTGCAGAGTGTCTCTCTGTGTGGCCCTGCACATTACAACTGAGTAATCATACCGAGAGTATTGACAGGAGTAAACCAAACCGTAGGCAGTGAGAATACATACTACCCGTCGACGTGCCCTCTCTGCAGGTCACCTGGGTCAGAGCAGCTGTCAGTCGGACGAATTCCTGTGTGGGAACGGCAAGTGTCTTCCTCGCTCCTGGAAGTGCAACAGCCAGGACGAGTGCGGCGACGGCACGGACGAACGCGGATGCTCCCCCCCTCCCACCGAGGCCCGTCCCGGCCTTTGCCCCCTGGGCTCCCTGCCGTGCACCGAGGCCCAGTCCACCCGCTGCCTGCCGGCCGCCCTGCGCTGCAACGGCGCCCGCGACTGTGCCGACGGCACCGACGAGCTGGGCTGCCCCGACACCGCCTGCGGCAGGCGCCTGGGCAACTTCTACGGCTCCTTTGCTTCCCCGGATTTCTTCCGAGCCAACAGGAGCGCTGCGGCGGAGCTGAGGTGCTCGTGGTCGCTGGACACCCAGGACCCCAAGCCCATCGTCCTGCAGCTGGACCTGCAGCTGGGGCCCGGAGACTCGCTGCGTGTCTACGACGGGCTGCAGCAGCGAGCGGAGCACCTCCTGCAGGTGCTGTCGTACCATAACAACAGGCGCCCGGCGCTGCTCGAGTCCAGCCGCGGGCAGATGAGCGTGTTGTACACGGCCCAGCCTCGCAGCCCGGGGCACGGCTTCAACGCCACGTACCAGGTACTGCCAACAGGATCCGTTCATCTCCATCTGACTCTCACAATTCGACAGTTCAAACCTCCTCCTTTATGCTCGCTTATATGTTTCAAACATCTTCCTTTGGGTCTCTTGTGTTGCTGCTCAGACCAGTCAATCAAAAAGTGTTTGCCTTTGACACATTTCTCCCCCACGCTCCCAGGTCAAAGGTTACTGTTTCCCCGGCGAGCGCCCCTGTGGCAGCGATCAGGGCTGCTACTCGGAACGCCAGCGCTGCGACGGCTACTGGCACTGCCCGTCCGGCCGCGACGAGGAGGCCTGCCCGGCCTGCCCGGACGGGGAGTTCCCCTGCGAGGGCGGCGCCGGCGCGTGCTACCCGGCCTCCGAGCGCTGCAACAACCAGAAGAGGTGCCCGGATGGCTCGGACGAGAAGAACTGCTACGACTGCCAACCCGGCAACTTCCACTGCGGGACCAACCTGTGCATCTTTGAGACGTGGCGCTGCGACGGCCAGGAGGACTGCCTGGACGGCAGCGACGAGAGGGACTGCTTGGCGGCGGTGCCCAGGAAGGTGATCACGGCCGCCCTGATCGGCAGCCTGGTCTGCAGCCTCCTGCTGGTCATCGCCCTCGGCTGTGCCCTCAAGCTCCACTCCCTCAGAAGCAGAGAGTACAGGTGGGGAATCGGCAGCGTCCCAGTCCAGCCCAGACACATCATGTCCTTGCTTTATTTCCTCCCTTTGATTTAGGCTTTGATTCTTAATAAATGTTGTGACTGTATCCCCTCCTGCGACGGGGCGCAGAAGCGTCTGTCTGTTATCGCACTTAATGGTGCAGATGCTACAAACTCTACAAGGTGCTTCACCTTCCTTCCCCCCTTTTGCTTTGCAGAGCTTTTGAGACTCAGATGACTCGCATGGAGGCCGAGTTTGTCCAGAGGGAAGCCCCCCCTTCGTATGGTCAGTTAATCGCCCAGGGTCTAATCCCTCCGGTGGATGATTTCCCGGTGTACAATCCGACTCAGGTAGAGCATTTACACACAGTGATGCGCCCCATTTACCTGAATTGTCGAGCGTACTGGTGAACTAATCTGTAATATGTGCAACCAGCAGCTGCAGTGCAATGGTGACACGGACCATAGCAGTCAAGATCGCTCTCTCTCTCTGAATTACATTTCTGTTTCAACAGTCACTGAAATCGTGTCCCAGAATTCATAAAATGTTTTGTATGTAAAACGTTATTATTATATAATACAATTGACAGCTTGGCTTAAACACCAGCTAATAAGGAAACGAGAGCCACATACCAGCACATCTGAAATGGTTATTGAAGAAGTTATCATCTTGCTTCCTCTCCTCCAGGCCTCCGTGTTACAGAACCTGCGGCTGGCGATGCGCCGGCAGATCAGACGTCACTCCACACGGCGCTCCACCTCCTCCACTTCCTCCTCGTCCTCCTCCTCCTCTCGCCGCCGCCTCGGGCATCTGTGGAGCCGCCTGCTCCACGGGGCGGCGCGGGCCAGGGGTCAAGTCCCTCTGCTCGACTCCCCCGGACCCGCGCAGATCGCCCTGGGGCTCCACAGCTACCGAACCGTGGGTGCTCGGGGGCCCCCGGCGGGGGCGAGGTCCGGAGCTGTGCTCGGGGAGGAGGGCTACGTAGCGGGGAGGCGGGGCTTGTGCTTCTCAGCCACCGCAGACCTGCAGTCCTGCACGTCAGAAAGCCCCGCCTCCCCGCTCTCCTCGCTGTCAGCGGACAGCCCAGAGGGGGCGGGGCTGCCGCGCGTCAGCAGGCCGACGCAGTCTGAGCCCGCCACCCCGGTTCAGAGTGACTTTTCGGAACGTAGCGCACCCCGTCCCACTCCCCAGGAAGCCCTCGTACCCCCGTGCCCCACGAGGACATCGAGGAAACTGGGTCCTGGAGCTCGCCGTTAACCTAAACGGGGTTTCCTTGAGACGTTACTCCTCCTTGGGGCCGCTGTCACCCATCTCACCCCCGGTGTTTGCCAGCAGCTCCCAGACCCCCACAACCCTACCGCACTATTGGGGCGTGAGGTGACTTCGCCCTCTGAGCCCTCGAAAGCAGAGGTCAGCAACGGCCACTTCGCCGTGGAAGGACCGAGCAGGGCGATGAGACGCAGGGAAGAGCGGAGGAGTGAAGGCAAGAAGAGGCTCTCCAGGTTCACCCTCAGTGACGAGGGAGGAGATTCAGGGAGGGAGACAACGCCATGCTGAAGAGTTTAGGAAGATACTCTGCTGAGATCAGCAATATTTGCTCTGCTGAAGTGTCCTTGAAATGCGTCCCCATCAGGTCCAGAGGTGAGAGCCGTCCCTCCACACGGAGCAGTAGAATATAAAAGTAGCTCATTTCCGTTCAAGAGGAAGGAAACCAGCGTAGGTTGTGCTTATTGTCTCCGTTATACAGCAAATCTCCTCCCACAGTGAAACCTGCACAGGCCGGTTTGAAGGTAAACCCGCGAGGAGCCTTCACAGGTAATCAAACGCAATTCTGGCCACTAGTACCAATGTAACATTGGCAACGTGTTCTTAAAACGCCAAAGCAGCCTTTGTGTTGTTACCCAGAGCCATTACGCACCGCTCAATACTGTGAACCATAAAAGCCTGCTAAGTGATCGCAAATGAATTCCCCTGATAATGATTATCTAGTCTCATTCCCACTTTATTGAATGAGGTGGTGTTATTATCACTATCTGACATTTTTAGAAGGTCATGTTTGGCTGTCACATCAAAGGATAAAACTGGTGATATTTTATATTCATGTTATTGTCGATGAATTATATTATAAGGCCCAAAACAACAAGAGTACGTCCACCTCCAAATACATTTGTCTTCAGCAGCCAGATTATATGCTTTTCCATTTAAAAGGCAAAAACCTATTTGTCCGAGTCAAAATAAACCACAGTATGGTTTTTGAGCAACCTGTCACCCAGTGAAACGATGAGGCTCATTGACATATTTTGAACCCTTTTTGAATAACAATGGCGCTTTATGGCACAGGGAGGAGAAGGACACGTCAGACTACACAGACACAATACGTAAGATTATTTTTGGGGGTCATTTTTGACAGTCACGCTGTCACCAAGCCACTCCAGACACTACTTGTTAGTAGGGACACAATGTTGTTGGTTTTGTTCTTTTCATGGGGCTTGTTGACGGTTAGAAGAATATAAACACTAGTCTTACGTTTCAAACACAACTTTGAACCACAAACATTGGATTTTTTGTGAAATACACCTATTTGCTTTCTGGGCGAGATATCATTACTACTTTCATATCTGTCTAAAACAGTGATACACTAAGTTTAGGCACAAAAGCTGTATAAGAGTGAACCCGCGAGTCTGAAGGCAGTAAATAAGCTTCGGTGCTGATAAGGTGCTGTTGTTCAACATGTAACCTTCAGGCGGATTTGGGGTACCTGTTTCCACCTGGCTTCACTTTGTGCTGAGCTAAGCTTTTTTTAAGGATTCGGGTGAGTTATCCCATCTAACTCAAATCAAAAGTTCCCCAAACATGTTCATACCAAACATATATCGGTATTTGTTCAACATATACTGAGCGTGTCCTCTGGTTTTGAGGTGTACTTCCCTTTCACACAACATTTTCTTTATTTTTCCAAGACGTATCCAATTGATATTTAAAATCTTCATTTTAACTTGGTTATCTTTAGATGTAGAAAGCCGATAACCGGTGTAGTGAATCCGTGTATGCGGCGTGTAACTCTGCTCAGCCCCCCCCCCAACCCCCTTCAAGTCAAACCCCCACCGTCCAGCCCAGGACGCCTTGAATGAACTCGACTGCGTCTGCTCTCATTTCCATTTGGTGCATAGTGGAGATTTTATATGAATGTTGAAGTGTCGGCAAGAGAGGCTTCACTCTATAATAAGGATGTGTTTTTTTCGAGTCCTCTTCCTCCCAGCGGTACCTCTGCATTGCTGCTGACTGACTGAACGCTGGTCGCTGCAGACGCCCCCCTGACCGCTGGTTTATTCCACTGGAAATTCATATCTACTCTGCGGGATTTTCTATTACAGGATGTTAAAACAAAGGCCTCTATTTTTCAGTCTTCAGTGGAGACGGCTGTACCAGTCCTACTTCATATTTATGTCTCTGTCTTGACGAACAGTGAACTGGATTCAACCTGATTGCCTGTGTTTCTAGTTTTCCTCTGAAGCGCATCTCTGACGTGACCGCCCTAAAAACTATTTACTAATTACTGCTGGACTTCTAAAGAATGTGTCACTTATACTTTTCTTGAAACCACCCAAGCTACAAACAGCCACGCTGGGATTTATTTGTTAATTATTTCCTTATCTCGAGGTAACAACGCTTGTTTTCTTGTGATAATGGGTAATTCATCTTTCAGATTTTCTGTAAACCAAAAGGCAGATCTCTGCAGTAAAAATGATGAGTAGCTCAATCAGGCGTCGTAGTCGGATGGAGAGGGAAAGGAAAACAAGCTGCTGCTGCATGGGAACAGTAGTCGAATCAGCACCAGAGGCCCGGACAGCTCCGCCCAGGCTTACCAGGGTTAAATAATGTCAAAGCGTGTTAAATACTGCAAGCTTTATACAATTTAAGGATAACTCATCTGCAGTTAGCCTTAAAAGACTGATCTGAATGTAATCTCCAATAGAAAGACACAATGCTTTATTCTGCCTGTGTTGGAACTTGTGTGAAGTCTGTTTTAAATAATGATCGCCACTATTGAACTGAAAAATTCAGCTAAAATCAGCTGCTAGAGTTTTGGCATGAGTGCAAACTGCCATTGGTAATCCTGATCTCTGATGAACATTTTAAGTGACTTGTTTTCTCCTGATAACCGGTTGATTATCTCATTACCTCAAATTATGAAAGCTTGTTGTTCTTGAGATAACAAAATAGGCTACTTGTGATCACGAGCTAGCGGCCGTCCTCGCCCGACACCAATGGATGTCTCCGTCTGTCCCTGCAGGATGTTGATACTGATCAGAAGTCAGATACGCGTGCAAGTAGTACTGCTGGTTTTAAGCTGCAGGGTCAGGTTTCTGTATAAATACGTGGTTTCTCCTGCTGATTTTCCCTTTAAGTGAGCTGAACGCTTCATGTTACACTCGTGTGCTTTCTTCTTATAGAAGTTTTGTCATGCCTGGCTGCTACGTGTCATGTGCCATTAGAGATGTCTCCACAAGTATTTCCTGCCTAATGATCTGCTTTTATTTCATTTCAAACAGTTTACTCATTTCTTGCTTTACGTATTTTGTGATATTTTCCTTGTTATCTGGTTCAAAGCTTGTACGTCCTTATTTAACTTAAATATAATTACACATCTGCAGAATGTATGTGCTTACTTGCTTTGTGGTGTGTTAAAAATGCCCTTTTCCTTGCTGTTGTAAATATCATGGACAGTTTAGTGGTCCATAGTTGTGGTTTACCTGTTGGAAGAGATTAGATTTGTCTGTCTGGATACAGCTTTGCGATATGACATGTGATTGGTAGACCCGCCTGCTCTGGAGTTAAATATACTACTGCATCAGGAATCTCTGGGATTATTATGTCAGAGGAGTAAGGGAAGATATTCAATAAGCTAATTCCAGTGTATTGATCTGGTTTTTGAAACGGTAATCTATAAAGCGCTGAATTCTTTGCTTCAAACTGCTGCTGGCCAAATATACAGAATATACGGTAATGTTTTGTATGTAAAGACCGATCTTCTATGGATAATATTTTATTATATCTGTCAGCCAAGATGAAGTGTTTCTACCTTGTGTTCTACAGCGTTGTTAATGTAGTGATACACTGCTTGTAGAAGCCAAGTCAGGATCTTTATTTCCTCTGTGGCATTTACTCACCATAAGACATTGTCCATTAAGCCCAATCACTGTATTTTTCAATGATATACACGGGAAAATGCGCTGGATTGAGACCACTAAAAAGTGAAGTACTTCTGAACCAGGTTGTCTGTCTCTCCTTGCTGTTATTTTTTAAAGCTTCTTCTGGGTGAAAGGCTAAAGTTATTGTGTATTTGTTTTTCTTTTTGTTTGAAAGCATTCCTCTTATTTTAAGAAATATATTTGTATATTTTGTCCTGAAAGACCTTGTGGGGGTTGCTTATCAAAAACCCCATTCAGCCTCGAGCTGATTATTCATTGTTTTCCTGTACCTGCAAATAATAAATGTCAAGCTCTTTATCATTTACTTAATTATTCCCAAACAAAAACAATGTAGTATTGTTTACTTTTTTAACCCTCTACTAGTACTGCCACTAACAAAATACTGTGAATAATAGGCCATTTATTTCCAATATGTATTTACATTTGTCTGAACCTGTTAGCAAGTCGACATTAGCAGTTAGCTAGAGCGGTAGCATATTTGGCTAATTAGCACAAAACAAAGTATAGCTACGTAGCCATTTTTGATCTGGTGATGATGCTTGATGAAGAGTCAGGAGAACAACCTGCTTGCATTATATATTAAAAAAAAATACATCTTAGAAGTTGCTTAATTTAATAAGTAATTACATTATTATTCTTCACACTAACAAAACACGTAGGCCTACCCAACAATGAGTTAGGAAAATGGACTTTGTAGGAGTCCTTGACACATTTGTAACAGTTCGTTTCATTCTTTACACAGTATTTACAGATCACAACTGAGTAACAGCGACAGGACGATGCTGCTGTTTGAAGCTTCTCACTGGATTTGATGCAGAGGGAAATTTCCCAGCATCTTCTGGCCTGGAAAAGCACCCGAAGGTTTTATTCAAGTTTAATGCTGCTGGTTCACATTGTTTCAAAAAAGGGTCACTGGCCCGAACCCTTATATGCTTTGCTGTATCCACAACATGGTCTGCTGACAGACAAGTAGTCTGTCAGAGAGGTTACTGAAACGCATTCATTCATTTCCCAGAGCCATTCGTCCAGCTGACGGCCACAAACCTCCCGTCGTTCTCCCGTGCCCCCTGTGCTCTAAATATTACTGGGAATGATGAGTGTGAAGTGGTAATCTAATAATAACACCAAAGCCCCCACAGCATCTCTCAGGAGAATGTAGTGTTGCAGTATTTTTTTAAAAGCCACAACGGGGTCTAAAGTAAAAAGAATACAGAGAAATATACATCCACAGTTAACAAACGGTAAACATCATGTGAATAATTAGTGAAAGATCTGAAGGTAGCAGCAGTAATAGAGAAGTATTGCTAAGTGCAGACACTGCTTGTATATAGACCTCAGAAAAAGATATTAAACTATCCCGCACAAACCAATCCACTCTACCAACACATGCGTTTCATAAGGCACATTAGCTCAAGGATTTAGTTAAAATCATAAAATATCTTGGCAATGAGGCATATGAGAGATGGGGGTTGTTTTGAGTGAGAAGGGAGAAGATGAGAAACGGATCTCTCCGCCTACACGCCACAAGAATGGAGGAACAGAATCAACCAACAAGCAAAAAGACACATATTTCTGCGCGTTAGGGTTTAGCATGCTAGTTTCCTAAGTCTAACCCTCCGCAGGCTCCACCTGTGCAAGAACATTGACGAAATCCTTTTTCTTCACCATCCACAAGCCGACCAATGTGAAATAACAAATAAATTCTAAAGAAATTGGAAGGACGAGGTGTTGATGTAAAAAGATAATTCATGGTTGAGTGCATTGCTCAGTCAGTGGCTTTGGAGGAAGTGAGGGGTTCAGTCTCTGAAAGGTCTTCCTGAGGAAACACCACATAACAAACCTTCTGGCCAATGTATGTGACACGTTCTGCAATGCAAAAGACAACAAGGGGAGTGTTATTACCAGGGGCTGTCTGCCAACATATCTGTAAATATTCAAATGTCACAGCCCAACTCACCAACTAGCCTGTAGACACATTTGGGTTTGTCCTTCCAATGAACCCCCACAAAGTACACAGGGACTCCAGTCAGCATGATGACCATTCCCAGGCCACAAACCACTGGTTCCGAGTACAGACTGAAGCCGAGCAGCACGGCCCAGAATACCAAGTAGGCGATGGGGACCAGCATGCTTACCTGCACGGGACAGACATTTTTTTTTTTTATATATATATATATATATATATAGCCACTATTGAGCAATTGCTGCATTTTCTTCATTTGGGTTGCTACAATATTTTCCTCTGAAACAAACCTATAGACAGTATACTGTAAGTATAGAGCTTGGACCATTAAAAAATATATATTATTGATAATCTGATATATCACACGTATCGTATAATATACCTATCTGACACAAGGGGGCGACACAGTACTGTACATGTGAATGACCGACCTGAATGAGAACCCACAGGTACCACGGGATCTAAAGCTGATCCTACCAACGGGTTGCCTAGGTAACGTTATGAGGCAAGCTGCTGGTTAACTACGGCGATGAGCTTAACGTGTTACATGTGCTGGGTGGATGAAATCTAAAAGAATATGTATTAATGTCTTTCTTTTTGACCTTCTGGCTTACCAACGCAGCACAGTGACAACACGTGTGTGTGTCTTTGAACAGCAACTCAACGTTGGTAACCTTAGGAGTGCCATAACTTTAACAACATTAACGGTAGCTAACGTTAGCTAACGTAAACTGTGTGAGCCAGACTTAGCCAGAGAGGCTAATTTCCATCTGCTGTCCCCCAGACAGATGTTTTTAAATAAAAAATATTGACCCTTTATGTAATTAGTAGTGATGGGAAGTTCGGATCTTTTTACCGACTCGGTTCTTTGGGGGGGTGTAAGATATTACCGACCGTTCAGTAAAATGAACAAATCTTTTTTTTGAGAGGACCCGTTACTCTCGAGTCCTTGTAAGGATTAGTTGAAAATGAACGAATCGTTCACGAACGACACATCACTAGTAATTAGACCTACTCTCTGTGAGCATGAAGGAGAAGTATTGTTCATGTGAAGGGAAGCTCCATCCTGTATTTTCGTTGTCTGTAGTAATAGTAATCTGTAGATTTATATTACAATTGTATCATTGAATAAGTGTGTTAATGTCGGTATATTGGAAGCCACTAGACCAGGGGTCTCAAACTCGCGGCCCGCGGGCCAATTGCGGCCCTTGGGACGATATTTTGTGGCCCCATCCTTAATATGAAAGTGTAATGTTAGTGCGGCCCGCAAGTTTTATACTGTAACCCCACTGTCAGCTGCTGTGTGGGACATGTTATGATGTTCTGGTTTCCTGCTGTGTGCATGTCCAGTGAACGTGGCATGCATGTGACTGACATGGGGGGCGGGTCGTGTGTGTCGGCCGAGGTGCAGAGAGCAGGAGGGTGAAATTCAGTTTCCTGCCCTCTTTCGCGCAGGTGATCATGTGACTAACCGTTAGCATCGCTCGTTTAATAAAGTTTTCCTTTACGACTCACACTAACAACACATGAAGCATCTGACGTCACCGACGAGCGTCTCCGTCCATTACTACGCAGCTTCGATTCACGTAACTTCACGTTTGGCTATAAAGGAATTCCACGGTCACATGACCTTAGGTCTCCCCCGCTGAGTTAAAGGAGGACTAGTGTTGTAGTCTCATTCGGACCGATCCCCCAGGGTGGGGTTCAATGACTGCTTTTGAAAGTGAGTGTTAAGTTGTGTTATTGTCGACCATGCCGTTCGGACGCTAGTCTGGCCCGCGTTCGGTTGAAGTGGGCTGCATCTGGCCCGCAGCTGATTTGAGTTTGAGACCCCTGCACTAGACAAACATTTTGTCCCTTTAATTTGTTTGTGTGACCGAGTTTGTTATCAATAACAATAACTAAGAGGTAATTTGTACTTCTTAGCTATGTAATTAATATATCACTAACAGAACCCAGACGGCTCGCAAAACATTCAAAAACAATTTTCCAGTTACGACTGATTGGGAGAAAAGTGGATATTTGAGCAGCAGCATAATAGTTTGTCTCAGGGGGCCCTGGTGGTCAATTTGAAGTAAACCGACAGCTATGACGTGATAGTTACAACATTCTGTGCTGTTTTCAACAAGGACACGTGATAAAACTACCCAAGTTCAATTTAGTTCCTGCAGTGAGTGCATGTTTTTTACCTTGATGGGTCTGACCAGGTTGGGTCTTTTCTTGCGGAGGTAGAGGAGGCCAGCAATGGTCACGCCGTAGGACAAATAGTTGATAAAGGACACATAGTTGATCAGGTTGTGTGTCTCTCCGATGCACAGGATGACTATGGTGGCAAAGCACTGTGGGAGGGGAAGGTGAGGTCAAGGGTCAAATACGTGTTAAACTATTTCAAAATGATGCTAACAAGTTCCATATTCATTTTAAAACACAAGGCGAGTCAAAGTAGGATAAACTGTGAGTGCAGCACTCACGCAGACCAGCAGGGCGGGGATAGGAGTGCAGTTCTTTAGGTGGATCATAGCCAGCAGATAAGGCAAGTGACCCTCTCTGGCTCCCGAGAAACACAATCTACAGACGGACACACAGTGCGCAAGTGTGTGTTCAGGTTTGCTCTACTTAGCCTATCGTAAAAGGAAATCCGTGAATGTCGGTTTGGCGTGTGTGTTCTACCTGGAGGAGGTGAACAGATATCCGTTGATCCCTCCAAAGGTGGACAGCGCCACCGAGATCGGCATCACCCAGGAAAACATCCCCAGCAGCTTTTCCCCGAATGTCTGGAACCACACAATCGCTGATAGGTCAGATATTTGAAAGACATTAGCCAACAAAGGCTTATTGATTCAGGCATTCACTATCTGCCAGTAATGCGTTCCTTTAATAATTTCACTGAAAGATCCCAGGACCCTGCTTGTAATTCAAGTCTGTGAAAGGAAAGTAGTCACACACCGAACTCGTGACTGTTTCCCAGTCTTCCCTCTGGTATCGTGAGAAAAACCCTTTGCCTGTAAACTTTAATCTTATTGACTAATTAACGGTTGCGGTCAGTCTCGTGCTACGAGACTCCGCCTCAGCAGACATCCAGTTTCCAGACAGCTGAGGCTCTTGTTAAACAGTGTACGAAGTGATGTGAGAGATGGAGAGCTGCTCACCACTGCCACCGCGTTGGAGGCAAGCAGCTCCTCAGGGCTCATGGAGGAGAAGTAGGCAATGTTGGTCATGGTGTAGACAAGGGTCACCAGTGGGATGGAAATGTAGATGGCACGGGGCAGATTCCTGATGGAAATATTAATGTAAGTTTTGGCGGTAATTCCAAGGTTGGGGTCGCTGTGCGGCGGTTTAACAAGCCTGAATTTCGATCAAGTACGTAGCCCTGAATTAAGAGGCTGAGCCGTACATCATATTCCACTGTGTAGGTGCAAGTTTGACAATTTAGACCTTTTATATGAAAACCCGTAGTGATGTGAAATACTGTGCAGTGCGTGTACCGTACTTGCGCGGCTCCACGACCTCCTCCGTGACGTAGTTGAGGAAGTTCCAGCCGCTGTAGGCGAAGGAGGCCTGAAGGAAGGCCAGCGCTATCTGTCCCACGGAGGGGTCCTGACGGAATTCAAAGGCCTCGCTGGGCCGAAGGGCGTCATAGTGACCTGGAGACGTCGAGGGAGGATGAAACAGTAAAAAGATTCTGTAATATCACCTATAAGGTTATTACTCTCCACCACATTTTCTGAAATAATGCAAAATAAGGAATTTCATTTCTCGTTACCGCCTTACTTTTTTTTAACTTTAAGGTAGTTGATACATATATTTTTCTCATTAGCTACTATGTTTTTTTTCCTTGAGAACTTTACATTTCTACATTTTTTACATTACACTCTACATTTTGTCAATGAATTACATTGTATGTCTCTGTCAGGGATGGGTGGAGGAGGCAGGACTCAAACGCAGACTTTTTAGAAAATAAAAGACTTTAATAGTCTAAAAGGCAAAAGCAAAAGGCTAACAGGCAAAAACGCACACGAACCAGGGGAAAACCGGCAGACAGGAACTACAAACATCCACAACGAAAGACAATGACGCAACAAGTGACACAAGAGACACACTGCTTAAATACACTAGGGAGGTGCAGGTGATTGGACACAGGTGGAAACAATCAGACAATCACAGACGATGACAGGACAAGGCAGGAAGTGAAGTTACCCAGGGAGACAAAAAGCAGAAAACTACAAAATAAGACAGGAAATAAACCACACCGTGACAGTCTCAGTGAGTTCTGCTACATGATGTTAACGCTGAACGTTGTCATTATTCTGTTCAGTTGTTGAAAATGTAGGTATTCTTTACATCGCTTGTTCTTGCTTTGAGGTATTTCTTAATTCAACAATTTTCTTAATGGAGATAATTAAAATATAACCAGTGATCAAAAGATAAACTACGATTTCTGGATATATCGACTGAAAAGAGCGTGTGCGTTTACCTCTACAGATCTGGATGAGTCCCACCACTATGATGAGTACCAGAGCGAGGAGTTTTCCTACAGTGAAAACATCCTGGATCCTTGTGGCCCAGCGCACACTGGAGCAGTTCACCCAGGTCAGGAATACTGCAGACAAACACACACTCAACGTCACTTCAAACAGTAAATTCATTTCTGTATGAGTGTATGTCCACTAGAACAATAACCTTCACTGCTAAACTAAAAACCTAAATGTGCTTTTCATGAAACAAAATCATAGCTTTTAAGTAAAGTTGAGGTAATCAGCAGCAGTATGCATGGACTGCATGTGTTCTGTGGCCTCTTTCTTATTTATGTGAAATGTTTTACGGGCTGTGCATTTTTGTACAGCACACAAAATTCCATCCGTGTCAGCACAAAGAAAGACATTCCTGACAAAAAAGACAGAAGTCTATGGATTCAACACTTCCTACATCCTGTTTCCTACTTGCATAGTGTGTGTGTGTGTACATATTTTCCACCACAAGTAACGCTGGCTGTAGCCTTTGAACTCGTTACGAGCTTAAGTGAGGCAAGCCCAGTAGGAGTTGTTGTATCGAGCTACCAGTGCTGAGACAGAAAGAGATTTACACTTTTGTGCCACTTTTGATTCTTTACTTTAAAGGCGTGACGTTCAGTCATCATGCCGCACATTTCAGTCTGAACAACAATGTGCTGCAACTGCAATGCTGTCAGCCCGCTCACATGGAACGTTATGTGAATGTACGACATGTAGAGTATTATTGACACGGGGTTTGGCTCAGCGTTGGGTGCGGTTCGCCATCTTAGGTACGTGTTGCATTTAGGTTAGTATGTCATGTGTGTAGATGAGTACACAAAGGGGCTGTCTGATCTGCCCACTTCATATTTGCTGCTTCAGGTTGAGGCAGATTTTGCGACATTCACCTCCTTACATAAATGTAACGGACATTTTTTTATCAAAAACACTGTGGAATGACTGTAAGTGTGTAGCACAAACCAGATTAAACAGACAATGACAGGTTTTACATAGTGTTTTTTCCTGTTAACAACACTTTTTATACGCAAAGGGAATCAACACAATAAACCAGGAAATACTGTGCAGAGGAGATTCCGCTCTGTCTACCAAAATGTTTTTTCGATCAGTGTTTGGTTAAGTGCCAACGGCTGTGCAACATTAACCAAACACATGGCTTTCTAAATTTAGCATAATTCAATCGGGAACTACCTTAAAAGGTTAAGGAAATCCTGTGTGCGTGCCTGTCTGTGGTCGTGAGAGGGGGAGCGTCACGTGAAAGTGACACACGCCAATCCACTATTTTCTTGTCTTCTTAATGACGTATCATATCAACAGGAAATTGAATTCAATTTATGGTGTACAGCCCAAAACACAAATCCCCAATTTGCCTCAGGGCTTTACAATCTGTCACTGTACTATTCAATCTCAATTATTCATTATCATTATTATCATAAATTGATCATTGATTTTCACTACTACTTGCACACAGGCGCGCTCATAGAGGTGTGTGTGTGTGTGTGTGTGTGCGTGAGTGGGTGGACGGTGCTATCCACCATGTCATCCATCATTGGGGCAACGTTTCCCTCCCACCACAGAAGCTGCTTCCGCTGGCGCGGACACACACACACACACACACACACACACACACACACACACACACACACATGTGCATTTTTGGCAGGAGGTATCGGTGGCACCGGGCAGAGCTTTCTCTTCCATACAACACCACGGTGTTTTATAGCCAGTCCCCCTCGGGGTGTGCATGCATTCCGTTCCCTGTGTTCCCGTGAAAGCCCCCCCCCCCACTCCCCTCCCTCCACCACCACCTCCTCCCCCCACTTCCCTCTATGTCAACCCTGACAGGAAGGAGGTGCCAGCGGGCTTTGGAAGTGACAGTGCAGGTAAATCTGTGTCCTGCCATCACAGCTCCCATTGAAGGCGCCTCAGCACCAGAATACTAAACTAATTACTGCTTTTATTCCAGATCCCTCAGGAACGCCTCCTCTCGTTTCAGGATCTGCTCACAGGAGTCACTCAAGTGGCAATAAAGCCCCCCGGCCCCCCAATCCTGTCCGTCACCCACAAGGTAACTGACTCCAGAATCCCCGCGGACTACAGTTAATCTACCGGATTAGGTCCGGGTCAAAGACATGCAGACAACTAACAGAGCGCAGTCAGAGATGCTGCGTATAAAGGAAGGCCGCACCAAGCCACCACTGTCAATCGGTCTTCATATAGCTGCTGTTTAGATATGAAGGTTCATGTGAGATTAGGAGCAACTGGATTGCCGGTTTTCTGTAATCATGCACAGACTAAAAAGCTTGCGTGGGCTGTATCGACAAAGCGCGGAGAGGCTGAGATAACAACATACAGAGTAACTTCCTTCTCTGCTCAGGTAGATTGATATATTTCCACTATATATTTCCATAGCTAGTAGTAGTTTGCTGCCATAGTCCTGTTCAATTCAGCTCATTTCAACTGTCTTCTGAGACCCAGCCAGTAAGTCTATTACTGACAGATGGGCCAGCACATGATTATAAATGTTAACCTTTTATGTTACGATTGGCCCCACTTTTCTGGGTTTTCCTTTTATTTCCTAACTTTTAAATTCTCATTGATTTTGGTTTGTAATGCAATACAGACTTGAATGAAAAAACAAATAACCTCAATCACGTTTTTTTAAATTGAGCTAGTGTGCTCACTTGTGGTTCTGTGTAGTTTCCCCTCAGATATTATTGGGAAAACAATAATGTTTTGTCAATCTTCCGTAGACGACTCAAGTAGAAAACCCTTTATTATTTATTAAAAGTCCTGTTTAAGGATTTTACACCGGTGTCATGTGAGAATGTTTCTAACAGATATGAACTTAAACCATCGCTGCAACAGTCAAAAAATAAGCACAGCATAACTGTTGGTACACCGTTGGCCCTAAACTTAAATGACGCCGACGGAATCCTGTTGACCAAGTGTCCGCATGTGCTGAGTAGAGGATGAGCAGGACTAAACGCTTTATTCACCGGTCTCCTTTTTGTTTAGATGTAGCTGCTAGTCTCCTCGTCCACGACTCCTCAATCAAATACAAAGGAGTTGGTGCAGCGTTCGATATAACCCAGTACAACATGTACTGGGAGTCTGTGGAAGTCACGCTGTCCCTGTATTTGTATTGTTCTGACTATGTGGGGGTCTGAAATAGTACACGTGGTGCCTGTTAGAGGCGTTTTGCTTCTGGCATTTCAGTTCTGGACACATCGAAGGTCGAAGCCTATTATATCTTTTTATTTGTTAGGAACGCAGTGAGGGAAGTTTTTCATAGAAAGGAATTCATCAGACGGTGACCTCACGTTTCACTATTCTCTTTCTAATTTGGCAGAATTCACCCCTTTCTCTCAACATAAGAATGAATTTGTGATCAAAGGTCACCGTGACCTCACAAAACATGTTTTTGGTCACAACTCAAGCCTTCTCATGCTAATTATTACAATCTCACACAATGTAGGATAAAATGATAAAAAGGGGGACACTCAGATGGTGTCATGTCTATGAGTTGTTCTCTGGAATATGTCAATGTCCATCCATCAAAACCAGTGGGCAAGATTCAACATCTGTCAACATCTGATTTGCTGCAATACAACACCCACCGCTGTTTCTCCTCAGCTGAAGGAAACAATCGGGTTCCAGCTTTGAAAAGGAGAACATGATCACATTCTGGGGTATTGTTAGGTCAGATGTTACATATATTAAATATACTCTATGGTAAAGACTGGAAAAAGTAATCCATGCAGATTGGTAATTTATACCTAGTTAAAGGGAATAAACTGCCCTAATAGAGTGAATCTCCTGAAGTGGGAGTGCCAGGCGCATGACCGTGCTCCTATTATTAGAATAACACAAATCACAACTGGACCTGTCTGGTTTTCTGACACACACACACACACACACACACACACACACACATATTACACTGTGCAGAAGAGAAGGGAGGACTGACTAGGCTGCCTTACATTCATAAACCACCCAGAAAAGTCCAGTGGACATGACACTGGCCTTAATAGGACTCGGCAGTGCAGAACAACATTTAATCCGGTTAATCTCCTTGAGTGTTTCAAACAAACAACTAGACTTGACAAAACTTTAACTTTATCCCAGTGAGCCATGATACTTTCACTTTTTCTGTAGTCAAGCTGTCCTGCAAATTCCCTTTGGGCAGAATGTGAGCAACCAGACTGTTTTCTGCTTCCGCTGTAGGATTTATGGTCCTTGATGAGTCTAGAGCACTGCAGAATGACGCACACTGGAGTAAGCCAAAAGAATCAGTGACATTTTGTCACTAACTGACCAAAACAGTGTTTTCACCAGCAGTTTTAGAGGAAGAACATGTCTGCTGTTGGTGTTTGTGGATAATGGAATTATACTTCAAGGACTTATCATTAACTTTTGTGGGTTCAGAGAAAAATCTTCTCCATCTGTTATCAGGACATTTGTGGATATTTGTGGACATTTCCCACGGTAATAAAGTTTCACTTGGACGGATTGAAGCTTACATAACGGCTGACCGCAGCTACAACCCCACTATAGGTCTGAAATGTAATGCTGTGGACCAGAGAGGAGGACGGAGGCGGAACCAAGCAGCCAATAGGGGCAACACTCACCCAACCCGAATGTCAGCTGGCCAATGGGATTCCCCATCATCAATGTGCAAGGTGCCCATTTCCTGTTTCCATGGTGCTTGGTGACAGGAGCGTCACGGTAACCACTGGGAGACAATGCACAATGGCGTAGACACGCCCTCTCATTAGCGGCATCCCCAAAGGCTGGCACCATTACATAGTCTGACACTGATACTGACACACACACACACACACACTCGTCCCACGCGCTAGAGAAAACATAAAAAACAGCACACAGAAAAGTGGGCCGCGGGCCTGACTACACAGTGGTTGTAACATTCTGTTGCCAAAAATAGTGGCGGCCCACCTGCGTGTCCTGTAAATGCAATCCCCAGACACATGCACACGCTTTCAGGCACCGATCCCCAACCCTCCGCGATGCATCCCCCCTTTCTGCATCCAGTTCAGACAAGAGCAAACTGGCTGGCTGGCCACTAGATACACACACAGCGTGCTTACGCCCCGGGCTATTTAAATACAGATTGCTATAACATTTCAAGGCGCTAGCTTGAGTAGAGGCTGGAAATAGACCCCAGCGTTTCATGAGGAATCATTAAATGACGATGACAGCACACTGTGAACCATCAAAGTATCATAATATCTTCAGGACTGCACTTGTTGTGGTCTACCGTCATTCATTGCTCAATCAATATTACTCGAAATCAATTTCTCAGCATGCTCTGACTTTCTAACCTAAGATAAGTTGGGAGTCACTCTGGTTCATCCAGTCCTGAATATCTACAGATATCTAACAGAAGGCATGAAGTGTGATAATTGGAACCAGGACGTCATTGTGACAGTGGCAGAGACCGAGATTGGCAGCGAGCGTCCAACCGGAATGCAAACCATCCTCCGTGGGGAGATTACCTTACCAGGTAAGGATGCCCAAACCAATCCTTCTTGACCGTAGGTGAGGAATATAGATCGACCGGTAGATCGAGGGCTTTGCTTTCCGCGCGGTAAAGTGAGTGTAATACCGCCCCCGCCGCTCCGATTCTCCGGCCAAACTCACACTCCATCTTCCCCTCCCTCGCAAACAAGACCCCGCAGTCACTTGAGGTTAAGGACACATTCTCTCCCACAGTAGGCGATCAATTGTTTTCCTGCTGAATATCTTTCCTGGAGTAAAAAAAAAAGTCTCAACAAATTCATTGATTTGACACTTAAAAGTGTGCCTTAAATCATTGAAAAAACAAACATATTTCACATATTTTTGTCAAATATTGCCAGTCTCTATGCTTGGGCAGGCTAACAATCGTCTGGATGGAAAGTTGAGATTCATGGGAAGTCAGAATGTGATTTTTCCCAAAAGCATTAGCGCCTCACTAGTCTTTGTTAGGTTGTGTAAAATAATCCCTAACCTGTTTGTTGGGCCTTTCCCCTTCACAGACATTACACAAGAGCATCTGATCGACACTGGATGCTTACTGAAAGCTTGTATATTACTGTTTTATGGCTGCATTCCTTAAGTAAAAGGGCATTCCCAGCTTCCATTGCACTTTATTTATTACAGTGGCACAGTTTGCAAATATAAAGAGATGCAGAGTTTAAAACGTAATTGTGTTTTGAAGAATATAACACGTCATGTGTTGCATGTGGTTTATAATGATGGAGGAAAAAGACCTGCACTGATTGGCAAATGATCTCTGGTAAGTACAGTTTGATATCTTGAATAGTGAAAGTTAAACAGACTAAACAGAAGAGCTTGTGAATTATAACAAAAACAATTGAGACTTTCAGTGTTTTTTCTGTGTTTGTGACTCACAGACACAGATGGTGGCGAGGAGTCTGGTGGCGATGTACGGTGGCAGGCAGTCCGGGAAGGCCGGCTGCAGGACGTAATTGGAGAAGGTGAGTGCGATGACAGCCAGCGTGGTCGGATACATGATGAGGACGGCGCTCCATAACAACAGGAAGCTACGGGATGGAGAGACAAAACACACAGGATTTTGTTGACTGTTGTTTTTGGAGGGGAGGGGGGAGGGAGGAGCTCTCGTTGCTCTCTTTCAGTTCCTTCCTGACTTCACATTCACACTTCTACCTAAATGAGCTGCGTGGCACAATCACAGTTTCCGGCTGTTGGTCTCTGCGGAGCTGCACTGCAGCGGTTGTGTCTGAGTAACTCGCTCAGGGGCGTTCTGGCATCAGTTGTGAGAGACCAGTGCCCAGACACGAGGAGAGGCACTACGCGCCGGACGGAAACTGTTGCTGAGCATCTCATCTTACTGTGACCTTCATTTTTTAAATATTATATCCTCGTCTTTTCTTTTCCTCGCGCCTTTTTGCATGTGCAAATGCGCCACACGGGACTAAACTAGTGTGTCCACAGGCCTTCACAGTGCCAAGCACGTTTGACCTTCTGAGTCTTACAGTGCCGATCTATGATCAGCTGACATGTCACATGATCAAACAAGTCACAAGACCTTCAGGGCTGCTTTGTGCCAGACAGGCAGCTCTCTTGTGTACAGGCTGTTGCAGTTTAATCCTTACTAAGTTACTAGAATTGCTACAGTCTGACACTCTAAAGTGCACATTTCTACAACAACAACAACTGCTGTATTGTGTGACTGAATGAATACGACCCACAATTGGCAAACCTTCCGTTACCAGAACTCAAGAACGAGCGGCGACGCACACAGGCAACGGAGGTCGTTCATACAATCTTTCCAAACCCAAACTTGAACTCGGCAGGCTGCCTGGTCACTTAGCAGCGGCTGAGTTATGGCTGGATGCTGCAGCTGTGTGTGTTCTGGTAGTTCCGTTAAATATTAGCTAAACACACCACAAACTGTTTTCCCTCCCCGGTGGGCGCAGAGTAGTCATAGGGGGCGCAGGGACGGAGGGGGGGGGGTGTTGGAGATGCACTCAGCTGTGTTATCACGCTACCGACAGAGTGCCGGCTAAAAGGGACGGGTGAGGAGTCAGTGGCGGTCATCTCAACAACGACAGGTCCTTTAGCACCCAAAATATGATGTTTGCTGCTGCTGAATGTGAGAATAGCTGAGATAACAGAGGCACACGCTCACTCACGCTTCATTACACGTGAAGGATGCTCCTGGGTGGAGATAGACAAAGGGTAACTGGACCAAACAACAGTACTCACCCAACTAGCCCTCCAAAGATTTCTGTCACATATGAGTAGTCTCCTCCAGATTTTGGGATGGTGACACCAAGTTCAGCATAGCATAAGGAACCGAGGGCACAGATCCCGCCTCCACAGACCCAGACGATGAGTGACAGCCCCACTGAGCCTGCATGCTCCAACACCCCTTTAGGTGAGATGAATATCCCGGAGCCAATGATGTTACCTTTAGAGAAAAAACAAAGATAAATGCTTTGTTTACACTTCCCTATGAATACAGTCACGGAGCATAAACTTGTACCTATGACACAAACAGCAACATGAACCTTTTTATGCTTCCTTTCTTCTTCTTTCTTCTTTGATTTTTGCATTAATAGGATATTAATACATTATTGGTGGAAAGAAAAGGGGGAGACAGAGATGAGGCCATGTTGCAGGGGCCACAGGCTGGATTTGAGTATCGTCTATTAAATTTGATTTTTGTATAAAATATTTGTTAGGGCACCAATGAGGCTTGGACAGAGAAAAAGAAAACAGCCACCATGAGGTTTATTAAACCCTCCCAACCATTCAAGAAAAATGCTCTGGGGAGTCAAGCGACTTTATTTTAACTGAATGACTTGTGCAATCTCTAAAGAACTCGGCTCATAAACAGTAGGTCTGTCTTATGTAAAACGCTTTTCGGGCCGATCTGGGGATTGGACTAGTACCTTTTCTTATATCAACCAAGAGACAGGGAGACGTCACATTCAGTTATCTAGAGTGACATTCAGTATTTCCTTCTCTTCTAAACTGCTAGCAGTCGATTTGGCACTACCCGTGACACTGCAGGCCGCTTGTATTGATGAATATGTGAGTCTCACCAAAAGAAAGAAATTATAGCAGAGAAGAGCTGTGACACAGGTTTTAATTAGTCTTTGAGAGTTGATCTAGCAGGGCATTTTTTATATTTTTTTTAATATTAGTACAATTGGGCAAAACCCAAGTAAGAGTATTTTTATTTAATGTATTTAAACTTTTCATTCAACACAAGTCTTTACTTGTATAAACAGTTGTTAAGTGTTATTGGCTCGGAAATAAAATGGTGAAAAGACTTCGGGCTGGTTGGCGGCTACTAAGCTGAAATGAAGCTCAATGTTATTAAGCAACCGTGTTGTGAGTTCAAATCCAGCCTGGCACTCACGTGTTATCCGCCCAACACAAAGAAAAACTAACAAGCACGAGAAAGAAACCAAACAGCAGCTGTCAAAGCAACACGTGATTTGCGCTGTCGTCCGTGTTCTTCGACCCTTTGGAGAACTTCAGGACAGGAGGAGTTTTGGGTAACAAATTATGACGCTGTTCACTGTAAACATTTTCTCTGTGAGGCCACCGAGTGAGGCACGCCATCGCAGCTTCCCCCGCTGGAGCAGCACTCAATGCCCCCTAATGATGCAGAGGGGGAGAGGAGGTCCGAGCCGTCTATTTATCACTGTCACATTTGATTGTGGAGGTCGTGGTGAGATGCAGAGCCGTTGCGTAACGCCTGCGTTGTGTTTGTTATGTCATAAAGTCTGGCATCGTGGCTTAGAGCATAAATCTCAGTCGTACACGCCCTCTCAACATTTTATTCAAATTGCGGAGATGAGTAAAGAAATACACCCCCTTGCTCTTCTGCCAACCCCTAGGCTTGTTTGAAAAAAAAAGTATAGACAATGGGTTTCGTTTTTTGCCATGAAAACGACTTGCATGTAATTAAGCATGACTCACATCTGAGGGGAAACGTTGTTTGCTGGCATGGGCGTGGGAATACCAGTAATTAGATACTTTCGGTGTGCTGTCCTGCCCCTTGCCGAAGCAGTAGTATTTGCCTGGAGAGAGCCAGTAGACCACCTTACATTAGAAGGGGGCGGTGGATATGCGAGTAGGCTTGATGTGGTGGGTAGTAGCATGACTCAAGTTGTATGTGCGTGAAAGCTGCAGTCTCCACTCCATCTGTGCACCACAGAAAAGACTCCTTAACTGGTCAGTGCCGGCCTGAGCCATTTGAGGAGTAATTTCACACTAGAAACACTAAAGTGGACCAAGACCATAATAATCTACGCTGACTGTAAAGACGTGCGTTCCAAACCTTTTCTCCGGCGACACGATTCCCTGAAGGCATGATGCTAGTCTTAAAAGTCACAAGAAGAAAGAACTTGTAACCTATTATTACAAGAAAATGTCCTCGGACCGGTTCTTTGGGGATAATATTTGAAAGCATATTCAGCGCTCTGGGTGTACTTTGAACGTTTAGCAGGGGATTTGCTTGCCAAATGAAGAAAAACCAGGGCAGGGTAAAGAACAAATCCTAACCGTATCGGCCGTATCTGCCTTTATCAAAGCACAATATAAGTGGCGTTGCTTATGAAGATATGCTATTCAAATGATAACATTACTATTGAAAGTGCCCGACTGTAGCACTCCCTTTGAAAAACGTTTTGAATATCACATTTATATGTATTTATCCTCATTCTGAGATCTGCTATTTTATCATTTAAAGAATTGTCAATGTTTTTGTTTTTCTGGTAGGTTTGTGTCCGCCTGCACAGTGAAACACTTTTCCATGTTTCAGTTGGTCCGTTGCAACATCCCTTTTACCGGGAGGGGGCCGCCTATGCTCTACTTGGTGTAGGACCTTGCCATTTGGAGAGCAGACCTACATACGTATGGAATATGATGGCAGTACTGTAAGTTTTCCCAGAAACATTCCCAATCATCCCCCACCACATGTCGCTTCACTCTCTCATTCATCCAGACCTCCACATGTTTTAGCAACGTGTCACAATCATTGAGTCCGCTCCTTTCATGCTGCATGCCCTCTGTTCATCTGACTATCTGGTGAGCCTATGCGTATCTAGAGCCACCAGTCAGAACGTAGTGCACCCAAAATATGTGAGTTAGTGTACTCATCTCTATTAAGCTAAATCCAAGACCAGAAGGACTCGCACTGAGGTAACAACAATAACCACATTCATATTGTGTCATTAGGTCAATAGTTTCATCCCTCCTCTGCCTCCCTGAATATGGTGATCAGCTGAGCCTCGGGGTCCGTCACATCATCAACACTCACACTGCACAACCTGTAGAGTTACTGCTGCAGATGAGGTCGCTTATACTGTACACTATATAACACCATATTCCTGTTCAGCAGCTCACATACTTTAGGAAACCGTTTGCATCAACGCAACACCTCGTTTTAAAACACACCTAGAATCTCCATAGGCTGTTTTCCTAATGCATGCGCTGGTGCATCTCACGCTATAGGGACATCCTCGATGCGTCTCTGTCCCGCGGTAATGTATTGCATATACACGCGCGGGCGCTTTGCTTTGTTTGCATGCCTTTCAAGTTCGACACGAGGAGGTCCAGCCACGTAAGCACGTCCACGCTCAGATCATCACGACTGATGCAACAGTTTCCAGGCAAAACCCAAATAGACCGAGCCATCATAGGTGAACCATCCGCGCGTAAAGGTGACTCTTTCTGTGCGTATTTATGTCCTGCTAGAATCCGACAGCTAAGCCACATATGAAGGTTTAGGCGTCCCCTCTTCCCCACAGTGTACTTGCTGTAGGTTTATTTACTTAGTCGTTCAGGAAGAACGGACCCCGTGCG